ACATCGTGTTATTTCGTTTTCAACGAAACTAAAATGGTTTAGTATTTTTCTAGATCAACGCGACTGGTTTTCCATATACTGCTGCACATTTAAATTTTATCTTGCAGTTTCTTTTTGTAAACTGCACGCAGTATCCAACAATAATTTTTATTGGGGAAAACAATCCAATTATCTTTAGTTATAATGTAATTAAAATTATATCGGATGTGCGTCTAGTTAGCTTTAGAAGTAACTTACGTAACAAAATGTTAAGTTTTAAAAAACGATATTTATATTAGAATGACGAAACGAGAAATAAGTAACTGTTAACTGAAGATAGCTCAAACAAATCTTTCCAAGGTGGGTAATAACTACTCAACATTGTTTTATAATGTTAACTGAAACATTACCTGTAGGTGTTGGCGTTGTTGATTTGATCGCAGAAGTACTGACAAGATTATCAAGATTGACCAGAGCAGAGTTCTCCCCGAGGAACGACTGTGGTGTTTTCTTAACAGCTCCTGTGCTTGTAGGAAGATTTTCGGCTATGTCTCCCAAATCAAATGGATCTGGTGATAGCGTACCTCCTAAAAGAATTGTTACAATGTAATCCCGTCTCTCATCAAGAGTCTACATGAAATAATAGTGCAGGCATTGCCAACTCAGATATCAAATTAAACTTAAACACTGTAAATAGTTCACAAATAGCAATGAGAAAAAAAAGACTAAGAGTTTGCAATGCGTACAATACTATTCTCGATTAGAAAGGAAATAATAGTAATACCATTATTTATTGGTTGCGGACTAGATCCAAGCTTATTTCTGTTAGTAATTACATCAAACTCGTCTAGATCACTCAATGGGCTAGCGCCAGAACTGTTTTGATTTCCCGTCGAGAAATTATTAAAACTAGGCCCGGTGCCGTTGAAACCGTTACTCGTAGTATTGAAAGTAGCACTCGATGTTGTAGGTAAATTGAAGCCCACATTCTGCGGCGACTGTGCCGCAAAACCAATGTTCTGCGTTAAAGTAGAATTATTGAAAGATGGGGAAGCGGATGTTGCACCTTCTCGCCCAGTCTAAACAACAATATCGGAATACTTAGATCTGTTTGATGTGAATGTAAAAATACATGTATCATTTCTTAAATTTCTGGAGATACTTTACTTGTTTTTTATTTGTTTCTGTATCAGTGCCAGGGGGTACAGGTGACCAAGGATCTGCTGTAGGAGGGGATGTAACTGGTACAGGTGATGGTGCGGGTGCCCGCCATGGATCAATCGCTGCTGCTAAAATTTTATGATACCGTCCGATCACTGACGAAATGAAGTATATAGTTCATTCTATGATTAAATCTTACATGGCCTTTGCGGTGGAACTGGTACCCATGGATCAATCATAGGTGACGTACTACTTGTAGTGGGGACGCTCCATGGATCATTCTGCGTCTATGGAACAGAAACCAATATGTAAGTCACATTTATGAATTCTTTTCAGAAGTTTCAAGGAATCACGCAGTGCTATAGCGTCCTCTGTTGTATTGACCAAACATACCTTGTACATATGAAACTGAGACAAATCCAAAGACTGTTGTGCAACATGCGAAGAGTACGCAATGTCGTATTAACATGCAATAAGCAAATGCACGACTTTCATTTAATTTAACAGCGCATACCTGTGGTCTAGGTGGTGGTGCGGTGACGGGAACACCCCAAGGGTCAGTTTGTACATCGGTAGGTTCATCACTAGGTTCTGCTAAAATAACATCCAACAAGTCCAGCAAATGACTTTGTTTTTCAGTCTGTGGAGCTCTGAAATTCATTTGCATTCTTAGGCAGGAAATGAGTTTGAATGTGTATTTATAATATATTACGGTGCACGATGTTTCCGATATTTAAAGTGTTCAATGTACACCACTAACTTAAAATCTTGCTGGCTCTGACTAAGAGCTAACTGCAGTCTAACATCGTCGCTGCGTCTTCTTTGTTCTTCCTGCTCCGCCTCTTCTCTAGACATTGCCAGAGCCAATTGCAGTTGCAATTCCTCTTCTCCCACTGTTTGTGGCCTTGCAGCTTCTAATTCAGCTGTGTAGTGCGCAGATTATAATTAGTTAAATACTATATCGACAACATATATAAATTTTAGTATTAGTATTTATTCATACGTCTAGTTGCCGATTCTGATCCCAAACGACACGGTTCCCAATCCTGAAACTAAATTAATAAGATGTTACTTTTTATAATAATGTAAATTCTTGACAATTTCGTTATTAATTCTGGAAGACATACTTCATTGCTCACGGGTGACATAGTATCTAATCCATCGCTTCCAAATCCACTAACAGATTGTGTAAATCTTTCTTTAGCTTTCAGTGCTCTAGCTCGTTCATTTCTTAATCTTTCATCATCTTTTAATAAGGCCACTAGTTGCTTTGCTTTCTCTCTTACGTTTACACCTTGATCCTTAGACCCTTCCGTGTGTTGAAAATCTAAACACAATGACAAAAAGAAACATGTGATAAAAATTTATATATTTATTTCATTACAAAGCTGGAGCTACTTGCCTTTCAAGGTGTGGATGGCGAAAATATTTTCTTTACATTGCTGTGCAACTTTTTCTGATCCTGTTTTAATTAGATATTCCAAGAGAACTAAAGCTTTATACACATGTCGCCAATTTTTACCGTGATCGTTCAATCTTTTCCACAGCATTTGCATAATTTCGGTAAAAGCCACAACGTTGTATGTTAAATCAGAAATTTCTGCCATAAGTGTACTGCTTGGACCCCATGGATCGTTACTGGTGGCTTTTCGTACAGCTTTCTATTGTATGTAACAAATCGTTTGTTAAGTATAAAACGTGAACATTCAATACTATGATAAAATATTGCCTCATTACCTGTGCATTGCTGTAGTTGTGGGCAAGATTAACGATATCTCGCCTGATACCTGCCAAATTCACCTGCATCACGTCTTGACCTTGTCTTCTCATCTAAAAAATTACCACTATACATTACAAGGAGGTAGTAACATTCACACTTCTTTTAGAAGCCCATATTTATCATCATATATATATTCATGATTATAGTAAATTGAACTCAATATATGCCAACAATTTTCAATGTGACTGAAATATAATTTCAGTTTTAAGTATAAACAAAGAAAGTAGTTATTAAAAAAGAAATTGGCAATAAATATGGGTGATCACTTCATACCAAAGCCATGCGACCAAGTATGCATTAGTAGGAAAGCAAGAAGTCACTCATAGACTATTTATTCCAATCTACTTTTACCAAATCAACATATTACTACTACTTTTTATTTGGTTAGTAGTAAGATGAATGAAAGTAGCTAAAGTAGAAGTGCAATCCATAATGAAGTAAAACAACCCCTCTCATAAATATTCCTCTATTCTATCAATTGTATTATCATATTACTTGCAAATTGAAATTATTATATAGCAAGCAAACTGCAATTAAGTAATACAATAGGATACAACTATTTTATATATGTAATATATACAGCTTCAAAGTAGAACTTTTTAGTCTTTCTGAGATGTGCCTATGTATATATACCCCAAATAAAATGTTTCGATGGAACAAGTGCATTTAACGTCGCATAAATTTCAAATTAATTACTCTTCATTACATTTTTCCTGAGAAAATTCTTTTTGCTATAATTTAACGAGCTTCTTAATGGTAATTCTTATATGTTTCTACGAAAACTTAGTATCAAAAATTTCTTTGAAAATAACATTTGTTGCAATACTGACTTGCATAATGTGCATAACTATTGATATCTTATAATTTTGCAAAAAATAAAACACAAATGATCCCAAATATGTGCAAAAATTTCATTACTAAAAACTATAATTCGTATATACTTTTAGGTACACAGGATGTTGTGCTATTAAAATAGATTTAATTTCTCTTGCATTCTATATACATATTTAAAAGTAAGAAGTTTTATTACACATAAAAATTGTAATTATCGATTGTAATTGTTAATTGATTTCTATAGACATCCTGTATACTATTTAGAAAGATAATTCACAAAACATTTATCTACATCATTTCAGTTTCAAACACTTTCTAATGATCTCATTGATTAGTAAAGTAATAACACTTGTTATTTTGTTGACTGTGACCAGTTATGAAATTTACCTTCTGCATCGCCATTGTTGGCATATGAAATACCGCTGGCAGTTGTTGATGAAGCTACTTCTTGTCCAGAAATATAGAAAACTCCCGAACACTCTTCGAATCAGAATAAAATCCTAAACTATAAGACGGTTCACTAAATAAGCAAGAAATATTTGTTATATTTACCTGTAGATGATGAATGAATTTTATATAATATGCAAATGATTAAATAACTAACTGAGAACACTTTGTGCGTAATTTTAACAAAGTTACTAAATATTATGCAAATAAATATTGCACAGAATACTGCATATCAAATGAGACATACGTATGTATAGCCGTTGAATATACAGTATTGTAAGAGATGTCACATTCGAAGAATATTTAAAAATTAAATAGGCACAACTCATATTTCACTGATACATAAAGTACACTATTATTTCAGCCATGAGTACTTAATATTTCATTTCTAAAGATTACCATTATATATCTCTACGAATAATATAAAGGATATATATATAAACCATGTGTAACAAATATAATACATTTAAAGCAGGTATCTTTCACTGAAACATGTTACGCTTCTATCCACAATAGTCTCTACTATATCAATCTTTTTCCTGTGAAATACAACTTTATATCAAAGAAACTGTATGAACTTACTTAGTTCCGTTATTGGTAAAGGCAATGATAAAAACAATATGACTCTAAATTAACAAAAGAAATAAAAATTGCAGTTTTTGTGCAATATTACTCTTAATATACCAATATCGTTTTCTGTAATAATATTTAAAAAATATAGAATACTAGATTAATTATTGAAACTACTTTTATTCATTGTGAAACCTGTTGCAAGCACTGTAATGTAAGGAATTGAAAAAAAATCAAAAATGATAAAGAAATTCTTATATTAGAGGAAAAAGAATCTGAACCAAACTACTTCATTGGAAATCAATAGACTACATGCAATAAATGAACAAAATCAAATTACTTACATTGATAAGATGGTGAATTTCAATTTTTCTTCAAGAAAGTCGTGTTATTAAACTGAAAAGTAAAAGACATCATTATCATCTGCCAGTTAATTCTTATCTTATCATGTTACACACACAATGTAAATTTGTATAAGGAAATCTTCAATAACGCAAATGATCCAATACAGTAAAAATATGAAAAAAACACCTAACAGAAAAAACAATTGACATTCAAGTTAATTAAAATTATTCATTAAATAAGAAAATTATATTATTCAAGTATATTAAAATGATCATTTAGTTTACTTTCTATACTTTATACAACTTATAACAAATCTGATTGCTTTAAATTATTAATTTTTATTAAAATAGAGGCAATTATGTTGTATAATTTTACTTTAGCAACTATAAATATTTTTAAGAGGCAGCAACAAGTACACATGTATACTTGTTAGACATCTATTTTGTACATTTGTTTGACTAGTTACGTCAAACGCAGAATTATCATTTCGTAGAGTTTCTGTAGGCAAATACACCTCAAAAGGAACACTTTAATACTATAATATATGATACACTGAAGGAATTATTTATGCTTTAGATGTACTCAGGATTGTCATTGTATGGTTTCCTTGAGACAGTTAAGTGGTATTAGACTTATGAATGACCATGAAACTATTGATCTTTGTTTTATATTTCCTACATAACAAATTTAAAATAATAAATAATAAATACAAAAAAAAACAAATCACAAAACTGTATACTAATAGTTATAGCTATTCCAACGATGTTAGTTTTGTCATAATGTCAGCAATAAGCTGAAGCTTTTTATATGACAGCTCAGCAAATTTTTTTTTAAATTCACGGATATACTTTTTTTGTTGTACAACATAATAATCATTTTCCGGTAGCGGTTAAAACCCGAGATAGAGCGAAGTTATCGATATATCTACTTAGGCGCGTTAATGACAATTACGTGTCAAATAAATATAAAACTATATTCGTCTGTTTTTCAATTTGCGCTGCATAATAAAATGCAATTTTGTATATTTGATACCACAGATCACTGGTGATCGACGCACTTTAAATGAAATATTTATTGTTAAACATCAATTACCGATGTAGTGCATAATGTGCTAAAGAACAATGTTGTCTAATATACATACGATTTATTATACTATTTTCCATATCTAACCAAAACAACAGGCGTATACTACATTGTAAATTGAAACGTTAAATTTTTTTATATTCGAATATTCTTCAAATAAAATTCAAATACTACATTACAGGTTATATTCGAGTAATAGAAGTAGACCTCATTATAATATAACTTTCTTGAAACTGTTATCATCGAATATAAAAAAAAATTCACTTATTTGAATGCTATATATTCTAATAGTTAAATATCATATTATATTCTCCCGTATCTGAATATTCTCGAATGTCGTATTGAAGTTGTAAGTTTCATTACAATAACATTAATTTATTACTGTTACTTGAATACTATTTATTCGAATATTTATTTGAAAGAATGTCTATAATGTTCGAATACTTATGGAGTATTTGAACAATGAATTATTCGCGTAGCTCGAGTTGTGATATACATACATTGAGTTAGCTGCAAGGCTAATCCATGAAAATACGTGATATGTCAATTTCGAAACCCTCTACCTATGCTTTCTCATGCTCGGGCGTGACTTCGTGATCTTGGATTATTAAAAAAACATTGTTCCGAGCTTAGCTTGACAAAGCGAACAAAAGGAAGGAAACGTGGAGAAAGCGAATCACGATTAGAATATTCGTACTATCCTAATCTGTCGTTAAAACGGAACTGAGCTTGCACTCTTTTCTTCGACGGACCATACCACTTATAGTTCGCACGTTTAACTTAACGTTATATTCCTGTGTTTCTCGTTACCTATATTTCAACGTAAAGCCGTTGTACTCACCGTAGCGTGTACTCGAAATTTAATGCACTAACTTTTGCAACCGAAACAACGAACAAAATAACATAAAACACTTATGACAAGTCCATTCACAGGCACTGACGAATTAGGAGCTACGAGGCAAGATGGCGCTGAAAAATATTTCCTTCTCCTCTTTCTCTTGTTTCGCGGTGTAATTGAGAGGAATTTAACATCCAACCCGTTTTCTGGGATTTAAAAACACATTCGAGGCCGTTCGTTGATAAGCGTACGCTCCGCGTATCTGCGGACACTTTAAATGACTGAACGTACTACGTGATTTTTTTATCGAAACAAGGAATTTGTCAATGAAGAGTTGTCTCTCTTTATGTAATCTTATGGCGGATTTACAAATGTATGGAGATCTAGTATGCTCTAATTCAGAGGTGTCTAACTTACTCCCCTCACGCTAGTAACTCGGAAGTATCGTTCCCCCACTAATTCTATTTAAAAAGCTGCCTGAAACTGTATATGTTAATAAGAACTGCTAAATCATGGAACATGTGTTCAATTCAAACAGGTAAAAGTAGGCATGGAGAGGGTAACTTTTTGTGAGCTTTTGTGAGTACTCGCGAGTACTCTAGTGACACTCCCCTTATGAAACGTTACCCTCTCTATTCCTACTTTCACCTATTAATATTGAACACTACATAGAACTGCTCGCAGGACACAGCCGTGGGCAGCTCCTTGAACAGAAGTAGCAGGGGAACGCTGTTTTCGAGTTACTAGCGTGAGGGGAGTAAGTTAGACATCTTTGGTAGAAAGTATAGAAGTCGTTGAAAACGTGGAGAAGGTTTAATGTTCTCTGGCATGTTTGAAAACAGAACACACTTATACAACAGTAACTCCCATATACGCACGCCATCATAAGGGATTCGTTCAGCCTTCAATTGTTGATTGACGGTTCCTGTTTTGAAATCACCATCGTTTCGATAATATTATTATTCTATGAACAAATGGAACCAGAATAGAGAAAATTGAAGAAGACGTTGTCGCTGTGTATTATTTACACTATTGTGCTAGTTAATATCTATCAAAGTGATATAGATAGGAAAAAGTAAACGTCAGCATCGCAATTTAACCTCTCTTTGGTTTTATTATTTGAATGAGAATTATCGGTCCATAAGTATTTTCTTTGTGGAGAAATCGGTCTTCAAAGGCAACTTACGGCAAAATGAGTGTAAGATTATTAAAAGATCCTGCTACTGTGAGTAGCCGCATATTCGTGGGCCATTTGCAAACAGATGATATGACCAAACACGAATTAGAGGAACATTTTTCAAAATACGGGACTGTTGTTGGTTCGGCGATAAATAGAGGTTTTGGATTTGTTCAGTTTGAGGAAGAACAGTCTGCTCAAAAAGCTATTCAAAATGAGAATGGTGCGATGTTCAAAGGCAGAAGAATAGGTATTTTTATTTATCAATTTTCTTCATTATACTTCATGCTACTTCTAGTAATTTCAAATCAAACTAAAACACTTTATACTTATTTGTTTACACTTAAAACTAAATATTTATATTATGTATTGTCTTAAATAGATGTTAGACCAGCAAAGAAAGATAATCAGTCTGGAGGTGGAGGACCAAAACAACAGGGAGGTCCAACTAATCAGTTTAGTTCTAACAGCAATCATTTCAATACTGGAAATGATTCTTTTAATAGTGGAAATCAGAGTTTTAGTGGAAATTCTTCTTTCAATGCGAACCAAAGTTTTGGTTCTGATATACAAATGAATGATAGTCAAAAGGGGAGTACCATACAAAATCGTAATGATCAATTTGGCGATGGAAATCAGAATAATGATCAGTTTGGAAATCAAAATAGAAATAATGGAAGTGATCAGTTTAATAGTATAATGCAAAATAAAGGCAATAATCAGTTTAATCCAGGTAATCAGAATAGAACTGGTAATCAATTTGGACCTGGTGGGAATCAAAATAGACCAGGAGGGAATCAAAACCGAAATGTGAATAATCAGAATAATCATAATCAAACTGGTGGAGGTGGTGGAGGTGTGAACAGTGGTGGAGGTGGCAGAGCAAGAGGTAATAGGGCTGGAAAAAATCGAAATAAAAACAGAGACAATTCAGGGGGAAATAACTTCAGAGATCGTAGCCCTATTAACAGAAGTGGTCGTTTAGAAGATAAAAGTGGTAGAGATTGGGATCATAAACAAGGCGATAGAACTAGAAACAATAACTTTGGCAGAGACTCATTTAATGACAGTAACAATCGCTATGAAGATTTCAAAAATAATGGACCTAGGGATGTAAACATGAGTTTCAAGTAAGTTGATATATTCATAATCAATAACTTTCCTCATACGTGTCACTAACTATTCCACATCTTTTCATTAGTAATACAAATACCACAAGTGAGTATACAAATGCAACAACTGAAAAAAATGACTGTGAAATCATTGTTGTCAACAAGGCACTAACGTACGTATAAAAGTCTTTAATTCTTAAAACATATTGTAAAGTTATATGCATTGTAACCACATCTACTCTAAAACTAAATAAGGTGGAAAAAAATTAATGTTGGTGATATGGGTATTTGCACAAAGATAAAGTTGTCAAGGTCATGTTAAGATTATCCTTTAATATTTAAACACCTTATTCATATTTAGAGTTATTAAAAGCATTTAACTTTATGTCTGCTAAGTAATAAGTACTAATTATTTCTAATACTGGCATTTACAACAATAGGGAATATGCAGAAAGTATTGAGGCTAGGCTGAAAAAGATTGGGTTAACAGTGGATTTACTATTTCCAAATGAAGATGTACTTCTTAGTAGGGTTTTAGGAAATATAGCAAGTCGTGGATGTTTGTATGCTGTTGTAGTTACACCGATCAATCAAGAACATCATTCCTTAACACTAAATATTCTTCATGGCTTACCACAAGGTATAACTTCAGTATTATAATAAACATATTTTCTGCATTAATACAAATCGAAATTTTTATATAGAGCACAGAAACATGCTTGTCGAAGATGCTATTAATTTAATATCGCGGGACTTTGCCAATTACAAAGCCGGTGGACGATCAGTACCACTGAACACACCGTTTGCGAATGAGCGACATCCTGATGCTATCCAAGTTCTTTTAAACATGCTGGCTGATAATCACCAATTAACAGTACTACAGTACGATCGTGTAATAAAGTATCTTGAGATTAAACGAGAGGAACAAGTACAAGTAGAATTAGGAGACGTAAAAGATCTGACCACAACAACGACGACGATAGCAGTCAGCGATCCAAAACAAGCAGAATTACAGTCAAGGATACTTAATATATTAAATAGCAATAAAACCAGTTCGACAGCACCTGTTCCTAGCCCGGTTCCGGCTCCAACATCTGCACCAACTCCAGTCCCACCGGCTACTTGGGGATCAGGTAAAAATTATATTTTATTATTAGTCAAATTCAAGGAAAAAATAAAATATCCAAAGATATTGTACGTAATTCGTATTATTATTAAATGTTTATGAATTAGAAGATCATAAATATCATAAAAACATGTTTTCTAATGAATTTTTGTTTCTTCAAAGTTAGTTGTCAGACTTTGTTTCAGCAAACTTTGACACTCGTTAAGTCCATAATTCCTTTAACAAGGAATTGAAGGAACAAGCACGCTATAAGTGCGGTCCTTTCGTTTTTTTTTACCTTCGTATAACGGTTATGTGTTATAACTGTGATATTTGCTCCCTTTTACTGTAAAAATATTGATATCGGATCATTCGTCACGCGAGACAAATTTTCTCAGACCTTTTGCAGCATGATGATTGCACTTTTAAAAAGGTCGTTTCAGATGCATCTCACCGATTTGGAGAGCATTTATTTTTTACATTTCTTTTTGGATTTGTTTGTGTACATTTCATGAACTTGTCCAAAGAAACTACAATTTCTTTTCAAGTAATTTAATGAAATTTCTACCGAAGAAGTTTCAAATTGAGAAAATTGTAACGCAAGTTTTGTCTAAATGATTAGACAAACAAATCGAGGTAAAATTTATAATTGTTGAGTACAAGTGATCTGATTATAAAAACGAACTTCGTACGCTTTGCGATATTTTTAAATCGAGTTTTCAGTGCGTGTAGTGTTCTTGTGCCAGTTTCCTCTTGATGCAGTGATCAAAGCGAACGAACTTCGAATATATTTATTGCTGGTATTACAACCGCTAACTACATGAGTACATCATGTTATGCCAGCAGCATCAACTGCCACAACAGCGTCCACAACAACTACCTCTACGGGAGTTTCACCATCACCTCTGCTAAACGATCCGACAGTTCAAAAGGCCCTTGACAGTCTGTTGCAAGGCAATTTGCTCAAAAGCATCGGCGATCAGCAACCGGCTACAACCACGACACCTCTGTTTGCCGCTTTTTCGAATATCGGTCGATTTTAATTGATTTTTTCAATCATACATGGTTTTTTTTATTGCGTTTCATCTCATTCAGCAGGACATTTCATTTCATTTTGTTCGATGAAATGAATATTCTACAGGCTATATTTGATAGTATATTGGAAACTAGTTAATATCATCAACTTTAACAACAAGTGGTTTTGATATTCTTCTCTGGTGAAGTGTTAGCATGCTTATATGTGCATAAAATAATACACTTTTGAACATAGGATTTATAAGGGTTTGTAAGTTCTATACAGTATTCCATAGTTATTTGAAGAAGTTAATACTTTTTGCCTGGTCTGCTTTTAACTACTAACGGAAATTATTGTTCTTATATTTTTTATGATGAGAACATTGGTATTAAGTTTGTAATTTACCAAGATTTTCTCACAGAATATGTTTAGTTGTAGGATATAGAAATGATTTGAACAACATACAATTATAAAGGTACTAACATCTGTTATATTAATATAATGAAAAATGTGTGGTGAAATTCTATGTTCTACAATCATTTAATGAAATAATATGTTTGTCAAATAACAGTGAAATACTGTAGATGTTATATTTCTATGGTTCTGAATATCATAGGTGTACACTGATATTTGCCTATACATATGTTCAATCCTTTCATTCCCAGGACAGAAATTTTAACTTAGTATGCATAGCATGATAAACAGAAGAGATGTTGCGTATTAGATGTATGTCTGATGATTTTCAAGGATGAGCTTTATGCTTCTTTTAACCCTGTTGCTTCCCATTGCTATAATGTTAATCAAGGTATGATTCATACCTTAAATATTAAACAATAGGTTTGAAGTATAATTATATTCTGAACTTTAATGAAGCCTGAATAGTTTGTTATGGTGGAGAATTTCAATGTGTAATATATTGATTTAGTGGTAGATAATTTGATGAAACAATTCCATCACTCATTATAATTATATGTTATTTTCAATTTAGTGCGTAGAATTTATTACATTATCATTTTAATGAATTGCCATTGTTGCTTATGTCTCTTTTATAGCTTTTATTAGTTTTGAAATATTACGTTATCAGTACCTACAGTGTGTCTCTTGAAATTAGTAAGAGAAACCATTTGGGCGAATTTATAAGCCTTGTAAACTTTGTCTAATGTAAAAATATACATATATACATATATATATATATAAATATAAATATAAAGCATTTCATTTTTATAATAAATTACGATGCTTATAAAATATTAAGTTTCCTATTGCACTTGTGATGATGCAGGTGTGTTCTTTTTCCTAAGGAAAGTAGAAATTGAGTATTATATATGTTTCTTAAACCATATATTATTACATAACTTTCAATCAGTTTATTCGTACAAATGTATTACATGAAAGTTTTGCACATTCTTTTTTTAGGAATTAGATAAACATCATATGTATAACTTCAATAAACTGTTTTTAGGAATATTTTATGTCTTTTATTAACAACTTGATATAACGTTGATGCCTCATTCTCGTGGATCTAGAAACAAGAAAATACACGTCTGTTCAATCAGTTTTAACAACCTCACTGACTTGCTCTTCACATACCTTTGCAGCAAAGTGCGTAATGTATAGACCCATTATTATGAAGCAGTATAAGCTATGAACTCAGAAGCAGCTTCATTATGTTAATAAGCAATAAAATAAACTAGTGCATAAAGTGAAGTACATTTTATATAATTAAATGTGATTTGCAGGATGTAAGTAAGCATATTATTAAGCATTAGCAGGTAAGCAAAGCTATATGGGTATAAATAAGCATGGATACTTGTTATGTTGACATATGATCAAATTTACCTAAGTAATAACTCTTTAGGTATTGTTCTGCGTGTACTATCTCTTCGCAAGGCTGGGACACTTCTTTGTATAGAATACAAAGAACGGATTTTACAGCATCAATATCATACATATTCTTTACCAATCTCTGCTTATATGGTTTCAGTTTCTCTACGAGTTCTTTGTTTTTGGTGATGGAACCAATGTGATTCTGAAGAATTTCGTTGTACATTGGCCAGTTGGCATCACAGGCAGGACAGTCACATTCAAAGAAATAGTCCTCCATTATTTTCTCTCTTCTTTCAGATCTTGGCATATGTGCATATGCAGCACCATAACCAGTGAATATTTGATCTCCAGGATATATTGGTTCCAAAGCACGAGTGAGCATTGTCAATCCTTCAAAATGACGAAAAGTGTTTGGAGCACAGGAGTGGTTGTACAAGCTATGCGTCACATATAGTCCAGAACCAGTTTTAATTCCTGGTTCTTGTTGTATCTAGAAAATAAATTTCGATAATTGTAAAATGATTAATGTATTATGTTTCTATCATTTGTTTTATTAAATTTTCTATGAGCATTATGAATTGTATGATTAAACATTTTTTATATTTTTAAAATATTTGTCAAAGAAATTACTGTGAAGCAATTAGAAGACATTATGACACAGGCACGAAACATGAGGCTGCCACAAAATTTTAACTGAGGGACATTATTAACGTCTTTTATTTCATTCATTTTGTATTTCTTGCAGAAGAAATTAGTCTGTGTGGCTAGAAGGATAGAGGCCAAAGCTGAAATACAGGCAAATGCACTGATACCAATGAGTGGCCTTGTTGTCATGTTAGTTGCAAGGCTTAAAGCAGATCGTGCACTCTTGCTGTCCAGTATACCTTCATCTGTAAATCCTGCAGTTCTATCATCTACAAAAATGAAATATTTTATAAAATATATAGTTATACAGTATGTTATAATTCAATATCTTTCATGATATACTTTCTCATCTTTCTTTTGTCTTTAAAACATGATTTCTATGTGTCTTTTTATTTTCATTTTAGCTATAAAATGTGAAAAAGCTTATTTACCTGGATTACGTTCTGCTATTTTCATATCTTCGTGCAGTTCTGCAATCTTCTTGCCTTTTGCTGTTACTACAATCAGAAAACGAACAATTTTGGTAAGCATTCTTACTTTGTCTTTATCAACATTGAATAAATTTCCCAGAACTGCTAAAATTGGACACTCTAAATCATGTGCCATATTCCAAGCTATTGATCTACATTCTTCTGAGCAATATACTGCCATAGGGCACCTTGGACATGGAATTAAATTACAGCTTCTTGAAAGACAGTGGTGACAATGTGTATGATATCTGTAAATTACAAGATTATAATGTTTATATATAAATATATAGGATGATTAAATGGACAGAATTGCACCATATATCTGTAACATATTTAATAGTAATGCTTGGAGGGAAATTATATTGTTCAATAAGAGATATTTTGTATGATCATTATATTAATTTAGAACCTCTATATATGTATGAATTCCATAATTATTTTCATTCATGTAGAATATTATATTAAAATGTAATTTCTTACTTTTGTGCATAAATGATGTGTGCATACGGTTCTTCAATAGAAACAACATCTCCCGGTTTAAATTCTTTAGTAGCTTCTAAATGACGTCCATATTTTTCCGAGAAAGAAATTATAACACCATCGCTAACTGCAGGAGCCTCTTTGCTAGGACCATAAGCTAACTTTAAAGGACCTTCATCTATTATATATCTTGGTTCTTTTTTTTTACTTAGTGGATTACCACAACCATTAATTGAATCTTCTTTATTTCCATTAAGCTGTCCATTTTTGCATGCCTCTTCATCATTATCTTTGGCTTTCCCATTTTTGTATTTTACAGTTACAGGTAGCTCTTCAATTGTTTCTGTTAAACACATCTCCATTAATTTCTCCGTATTAATAGATTCATTGTCTTTGATTTTCAATTTCTTTTTAAGTTCTTCAATAGCTTTTGCCCCCCTTTCCTTCAATTTTTTTCTTTTCTCTTCTGGATATCCAAGATTCAAAGCAGAATCAATATCTATTAAACACTCTTTGAACATTTGTTTTCTGTATAAAGCTGCTGATCTATTGGCATGAGCATGGGACATAAGTTCTTCATTATTTGCATATGCTAAGCTCAATGTATAATATTTTATGGCTTCATTATCGTCACCCATTACAAAATACTGATTTCCTATAACATTTTAAAAGTTGATACAGTTAATTATAGTGTTAAGATTGAATTCATATAATTAATACATAATTTGCACCTTCTTCTCTGTATCTGATAGAATCTTCTTCATTTTTCGTTTCAGGAATTAAAGTGGGTAATGGAGACTTCAACATATTTTGCAAAATATGGCCAACAAGTGCTTCACACTCTTTTTGTAAGCCATATCCTCCATGAGACTTATTATTTTGCTTTATAGTCAGTACTAGTTCCCTTGCTTTGTCCATATCCATGTTTACTGTTCTTACAAAAAGGATCTTTCACAAAATTTTTTTAATTTATATATCTCACTAATGACACTTATAAATAAATAGTAAAATATATTGTAAGTAGTTTAGTATATGGTCTCGTTTATTATTCTGTTTTATTAATTGTTTTCACTAATTGATAAAAAAGATTATTTTTTAAACATACTCCTACAGTAGATAAGCAGATACTGATTGGACTGTAGTGAACTATGTACTGGCAGAAGCAAAACTGAGAGGTGAAACTAAAATTACCTCAAGTCAGATGTTAGAGGGAAGGCAGAAACTGTATAACTGTGCAACCAAATTCCAAATCGTTTATTAAATTGTTAAATTATAAGTTACACAATGATTACAAGTTATTACATTTTAATCTTTGCCTTCATGATTTGTTATAAATATAAGTATTTTAGTAATTTTCAGATTGTTAACAAACATACTGAATATATTATAGCCTGTTAAACAAAGAAATATAATATAACATTTTCTAATATACAGTTAAAATTATATAGTTTACTGTATTTTGTCTGTTCCTTAAAATCTATTTTCTTATTGAATACTGTTTGCAATATTCATAAATAATATCCAATTTGAAAATTGCGACAAATATAAGATAATAATATTAGAACAGACCATAGTAGCATGTAAAGTTCAAAAATATTCAACAAATATAGAACATGAAAGCAGTTTTTCTGTCATGTTGCATGAGCACTTTGTAATGAGAACAATTTGGCAGACATCCAAATTTAATGCTACAGTTACCGCCGTCTTGAATTCAACCTTTATTGAAAGGAATGTACATATACTGTGCTTGTTAACCTCTATGTAAAAAATAGTTAATGTTTACATACATCTTTTTATATATTTTTTAAATACCCAATAAAATATCTTTTAAAATGATCTTTTAATGAAATTAATGTTATGGGAAGGTGAAAATAACAATGAAGAGAACTATGTGAAAAAAGTGTAATAAGTTTATTAAGAATTTATCACATGGTAACAGTTAACATGTGCAAACTTTAATGGCCATACATGTAAAATATGTAGGATTTGAAGTCGCTTTACCTGTACATATTATGATGAATAATAAAATGCACCTCCTATTATGTGAATTGGAAAAGTCATGAATAAATAAATGTGTGAAAAATAAGCTTATATCACATTATAAGGGTTATATGCATACTTGACTAGATCAATCTTCATATACATCCAAGTTTATACTACTACCAAACTTTGCTTTTAATTGAGTTTTTAAATCATTCAAAATGTTCTTCAAATCAGCACTCTGGCTTTCCAAATTTGAAATTTCCGTTTTCTTCTTCACTTTAAGATCATCCAAATAGCCCTGTAAATGCATATTTCTTTAAATTATAGGAAACTAACACATTGATGAATATTTCTATATTGAATTATATCATAAATAATGTCTTTTTATATTTATTGTGTACTTTTCTCTAAAACGGGTGAAATGGTGTTTTAAAATTATTCAATACTTGATGGTAACAAACCTGTGTTTTTTCCATATCTTCCCAGACAAAAACTTCTCCTATATAATAAGGTATTTTGACATCTTCATCTAGTAGGAATAAATTAGACACTTCGTCACATGCGTCTTCCAAGTTTTTTAACTCGTCCTGTTGGAAGTATTCAAATTTGACACATACAACATCGTACATGACCAAATAAGGTTATATGTAATATGAAATATTTATTACTGGTAAATCTATTGATACCTGTTTGCCTTTCACCTGTGACTGCAAGCTTTCCATCTTTGCATATAATCTTGCAAATTTATTAATTTTCTGTTGATCTTCGAACGTAACATAAACATTGCAATCCTATAATACATCAGAGGTTAGAAACGCATTTTAACTTTAGATATTTTAATAAAAAGATAATTGTTATTGAGGCTTACTTTCGACATGGTCGCTTTCCTTTTATTTTATACTGATTTAAATTATAGTGTAATACTAGTTTAGATACTAATTTAGAAAGAAATTGACATTACACCACAGATCAGTTTTATAGAGACGGAACTTCTGAGGAAATCTTTGATGTTCCTGCCTGTAAATGGGATGACCTTGAAACACAACTACCATAGTTGATGTTACCACTTCTTTACAGACGATATCTCCATTATTTTCTATGTTTAATTAATTAAAAGAAGAAGAAAAGATTGTATGAAACAGTATTATAAGCAAATTACGTTGAATAATTATACATATTTCATTAATACGATTTTAATTTAAAAGTTGTGTAGTTTCTTGACCAATACCAAGTTTTTTATTATTTGAAATGAAGATTTACTCTAATTTACTCTGATAGTGCATAATTGTTAGTAAAAAAATGTTAGATTTTAAATCTTTATGGTTTTATATAAATCTAATGATTTTCGCTACATGTGATATAACATTCGCAGACCGATTGTTGAAAATAAGGCATTAGATGTGTGTTTTAAAAATATTTTATGTTTATACAAATACAAGTTCTAACTTTATAATTGATAAAAAGAATATAATTTATTATCTATTTCGGAATATCTTTATAAGTAATCAAACAGTTGATTTTTTATATTTGTGAAAATACTCATCTAATATATTAGAATGAAATATTTCATCCACACAGTTATTAATTTTATAATTTTTATTCAGTTACATTTTTTATTTTCTTCGTCTTGTATGTGTTTAAAATGTACGCAAAATAATAATAAATAATTTATAAAAAGTAAATAAAATGTAAAGGTCCCACCGAGATTTGAACTCGGATCGCTGGATTCAGAGTCCAGAGTGCTAACCATTACACCATGGGACCTTGTACAAATTTACCTCATATCAAGGTTTTAAATGATTATTAAATAATTGAAAAAAATGATTGAACTTCAAATTATTAAACGTTTTTCTAAATTAAAACCAAAATATGATTTTTATTGTTTCATGCGTGTTTAATATTATAAAATTTCGGCAGTTTCGATGTTAATATTTATTAATATAAGACCTATATCTTACATACATTTTTACATTTGTATAAGACACTTTTTTATATGAAATATAATTATAAAATACTACTAACTATCGAAGTATAAATTTGTCAGGAAAGTAACTTAATTTTACATAATTTAAAAATGTTGTAATACAGTCATGGTCACTGATTATTCTTTATCTTCAACTGTTTCTTTTAATAAAATTTCATTCTGCTTTGGATCTTTTTCACTGTCTTTCGATTCTAGGCTTTCTTCAGTCTTTATTCTCTAAAAATAACAATTATACTCCTTTGTATTATAAAACTGATACAACAAAAGATACTTAGTACAAAAAATTATGTTTTTACCTTTGCATTATTTACAGGTTCCTTTACATTACATATTTCTAATAAGTTATATTTCTTAAATTTGTAATAATTTGGAGAAACAGATATAAGACAAACACCACGTATTACTTCCACTATTACAGCAAGTTCTGGATTCTTTAGATCTGCTTTATTTCCAGGATTCTTTTTGTGTATTATTTCAGCTAGATCTTTAATAACTTCCTCCCTATGTATATTGTGGTTACTGTGGCGACTGAAACATGTTTACATAAGTATATTTGTCATTCAAAAGTAACTTCATTATTATGTAAATAATAAAAATATACTTGAATACAATGCTGAAGGTTTTTGGTTCCTGTGCAAAGTACTTCTCAAGAACTGTGTCTGCTTTCTGCTTTATGTCATTCATATATGCTTTGCATATAACTTCAATAGGAATTAATCTTAATATATATCTTGTACGTTGTTGTTTAGTTTTATCTAGCTCTGTAATAATTTTAGTAACTAATTCTAAAGGATTCAACAAAGATGTCCTTATGAAAATTACATTCTTCACACCAGTATCGACTACCTAATAAAAAGTTTATAAATATTATTATGCTGAATAATTTTGTCATTAAGTCAGTTTAAGATAATGTAAATACATTTATTCTTTTCAAATTTCTTTTTGTTTATTTACCTGGAACCTTCTTGCATTCACTGGTTTAGCGTATTCTGCTTTTAATTCATTAATTTCTTTATTCAAAGAAGTTGATATATCTTCCTCATCATCTGGGTCTGTATCATTAATAGAATCATCTTTTGCTACAGGAGTTTTGGTATTATCATTATCTGAGTCCTTGAATTAAAAACAGTCCTTCATCCTTAAATTTTATGTATTAATGTTAATTCTTTGATTTCCACTATACCTTTGTAGCCTCTGATCCATAAATTTCATCGGCAAATTCATTAAGTAATTTGTAAGCATCACGTACACAATCTTTTTCACGAAAATTACATGTGCATAAGAAACCCATTGAACCTGGTTCTAGACTGAATTGTTTACGTTTCTTATGACTGTTACCACTGTTTTGATAATAATGCTTCTTCTTTTTTTGTACATCCATTTTTCATATATTTCAAGAACAATATTAGGTCTATAATAATTGAAAAGAAAAATGGGTATTATAAATTTATATATATAAATAAAACATGTATTTTTTATAAGAATGTAATTTCCTTTAATGATATAAAATAAAGGCCATGTGGTCTGGGTTACTCATTTTTAGACTGTGAAATCATAGATAATAAATATTCAAAATGGTTATTGTACTACATAGAAATAACTATTGTAAGATTAGGAACAATATTTATATTGTAAGATAACGATATAATTTTAGGAAACTTAAAATTGACAGTACTTGTCTGCTGTGTTTGATACAGTTGAATTTATTATTCCCACGTGAAACTAACCTGGAATTATTGAGTTATCGTAGCAGGAATAAAATTAAATAACTAGATAATACTTCATCCCTATAGTAATTTCATGTTTGGGAATTTTAAGATGTGTGTATAAAATAAATAACTTTATTGTCAAAACTGAATAAAAAAATGTATTATGTTACAACTTGGAGCAGAGCTGCCATAATTATTTTACAATTCAAAGGAGATCTGCCATAGTTATGTTTCGACGAACAGCATTACTAAAACCTTCTTTGTATTTATAACAAACGCCATATTTCGTCAAAAAGTTGTGCGAATTGTTGGATTCTTTATCTGACTTTTTTTGTTTATCTTGATCTACCGTAATTACTCTTCCAAAGAAATCTTTATATGTCTGTAACAATTAGTTTTTTTTTGTTAGGATGTTATTTATGAAAAAATATAACAAATACAAGAATAATAAATATTGAACTTACAATTTCCTTTATCTGCGTTTCAGGCTTTTTAACTTGTTCTTTGGAAGCTGCCTTTGTTGTATTATTATTTCTTTTGGTGTTGTCATCTACTTTTTCTGTAGAATTTTTTGTATTAAGCAGAGCGTTTGAAGCCCGCCGTAAACGTTCAGCTGCCAACTCTTGAACAATTATTTGTTTCATCGCATACGCAAGAGTTCGACGATGTTTGCATTCAGGAAAAATACCAATTTCAAATATGTTCCTAAAAAACATAAAATTAAAATATGCCCTTTAAATGGAATTGTACAGTACATTCTCATAGCTTACGGATCTAGATTATAATCATAGATTCCGTCAGGAGTTCTTTCTTGTGCAAATGTCAGACCAAATTCGAGTAGAACATTTACCAAACGAGCAAGATCATTTCTTTCTTTGGTCGAATGTAAATGTCCAGAAACTGTTCGCAATCGAGGACACAGTAAATCTGGCAAGAAAGGAGCAATATCGACCGCCAACGTTATGATATCACGACCGCTACTTTTATAAACGGTCGTTAGGATACCTATACTTTTTGCTTGTTTTTGATGCATCTACAATGAATATATATTAAAATTATTGATTACTATCGTATTTCATATCAACTGTTTGAATTTCTTACTTCGTATGGTACGGAGGGATAAGATAACTTAATGTTTTTTGCATTGGGAAAATATAAATGCCATGTGATGAAAGCATAATTTGTATAGGGCATAACAGACCAGACTTGGGAGTTTGCAACTAGAGATAGTACTTCATCAAAGAACTGAAACCACTGTAAACATAGGACTATGTAGTTCATTTTATCACAACAAACTTCTGGGTAGTTATGGAATATCCCCTGTGCTAATTTTTCTGTCTCCGCTGAAATAGGAAATAAATGGTTATTAATAAAATATATCATGGCTGAATCATATACAATGCTTTACCATTTTGTACAGTTTTCAGTACAAGACTAACTCTCTTTGAAATAGGAAGTATTCCTCTTTTGTCCATAGGTATTGCTAGTATCTGCTTCCACGAATCAAATAATCCTTTCCTGCTGTCCTTTAATGCAAATGATACATTGTCTCCTAATTTGGCGCCTCCCATGTATTGGAGTGCGCCTAAACACGACCTTACATCACAACCGGATATTTCAGCTAATTTCAGAAGTACGTCTGGATTGACTTTTAAATTTTCTTTTCGTGATACTTCCATTAATCTATCTGCTAATCTTGCGGGACTCACTTCTGGTACTGCTATAATAAGTGCAGTTGCTCTGAGGGATCTGTTACACATAATTTTTTAATGTATTCTTACTTCTCATCGTTAATCCTCTGCATATTAATTAATCAAGGAAAATTACCTTAATGAAGGAGTATATGGTTCATTGCAAATACATATTACAGGGCGATGACAAGTCAGGGATTGTTTATCACCCTTTCCCTTATCCTTTTTACCTTTCTGGACTAGTTTACCTTGAACAAATTTCAGTAAAAGTTCAATTGATGCTACTGGCGCCCCATCAATTTCATCTAAAACGAGGCAATTTGGTCGTGGTTCGCTTCCCATTACAGCTTTCATTTGTGTTGATGAAAGAAGGACTTGCCTATATTCAAAATGTACATTAGTGACTTTATCAAATTTAATTTCATCATAAATTGTTATGTTACCTGAAGGCATCAGGACTTCTTTCATCACTGGCATTGATTTCTACCACATTATATCCAGCATGTTTAGCTGCTAAGTGAGCTAATGTAGTTTTCCCCAATCCAGGTGGTCCAGTTAATAAAGCTATTTTTTGAATTGGGAATCCTCTATTGTCTACCTCTTCAATATCTTTTTCATTGATAAATTTCCTATTTCTGAATGTGGAATACAGTTTTTTCTTTTTATTTTGTACATAATTCCGGTTAAATACTACCTTATCCCAGAGTTTTATCCAATGTAATAAATGTCTGTTCACACTTTCATCTGAAAGTAATTCTATATAAGATCTTGGTCTATACTTATCAACCCACAGCTCATTATCTTGCCTGAAGCCTGTGGTTGAAACATTAGAATTTTCACAACTAGCACGTTTAGCGTTTTGCACCATCTGTAAAATTATAATAAAATCATTGAATATTGAGATTTATAAAGTTACATAAATATTTGACCCACATACAATTTCTTCTGCTTCAGCCTTCAATTGATCATAAGGTACAGACAATAAATTGGAAAATGTGCGGGTACTTTCTTTCACATTGGGTTCAGTATCATCTTTTAACCTAATATATATACGCTGGGCATCACGTGGCCTGGTTAAAGCCACAAAATTCCAGCGAGGAACTCGTAAAGATATTGTATCTTCATTTCTAAATGAAATTAGTAATTGTTAAATAAAGTCAATAAATAAAATAATTACTGTATTTTACATACTCTTCATAATATTTTCTTTTAACAGATACTCCTCTGCTATGTACATGAAATTTTTCTCTAGCATCTAATACTACTTTAATTATATTTTCAGGCTGATCCCACCTTGGTTTCTTTCCTGTAGGTTCATAGATATCAACTGGAATGAAAAATAGGTTTAAATATAGTTATCTAAAGTATATAAAATTACCCAAATTATTTACCATGATCATTGAGATCTATTATGTCAGAAATGTCTCCAAACAGTTCATCATAATTTCGTTTTTTTGTATTATCTATATCAATACTATCAGATCCTTTATTACTAGGGGTAATGAAATCATTGTGTTTATTAGTTGTGAAAATATTCAATTCCTTGTGTACATTGTGTATGGTAGAGTTTGATTCCTTATATGTATTAGGTGTTGCATTAACTGATTCATCTTTCTTCTTATGTTCATTATGTACATTTTGAATTTCTTGAGATTTTTGTGTCTTCTGCCCTTCATATTCTAAAATATAATAATTACAATTAAATATTAATAAGCTGTCATATTCGAAATCAGTTTGTTTACATGTTGTGACAGGTATCTTAATTAAATTAATTGTTAGAAAGAACATTATTGCGAAAACCAGAAAATATAAAATATCACATACATTATAAATAAAATACTCACAATCAAGTAACAACATAGAAAATTAAATACTTAATTCAAAATTAAATACCGATAACAAGGTTATCCTTAGTTTACCTTCAATTTCTTTCAGAAGTTCATATTCATCTGCGTGGACTAAATCAAATTCTTCATCAGGATCAGGAAATTCGGAATCCATAATTCCAATTAGTTACCAAATACGTATAATTATGAATATATAAAATAGTTAAATATTGTTTTTCTGCTAATTCAATTCCAGTTATACATTCTGACTCCGTCTAAGTACATTTCCCCGCGCATTTTATGGCGGTAAATTTGAATAATCTATCCATCGTAATTAACAATTAAAAATTTAAAAACAGTGTATAATTCTTAACAATGTTTAATAACTATCAAATACTCTTCATGGGTTTATTTAAACATTTTATTTCCTCATAAATAACAACATCATACATCCTACAGCGATTATTTTGTATAATTACAAATCTATACTTCGAAATAAATCAATCTTATAAAATAGACTTTTATAGAGTTTTCTTCATTGCTCTAGCATCTACCAGCTATTGTCAGTTTACTATTCAAGAGACCATTTCGCATTCCGAGTGACGTGCAGTTACTTCACCCACTGTGCTCCGAATAATAAATACCATTTAAAGAATACTGACCACATTCGGGCTGAAATAAGTTCAGCGTAATTTCTACCATAAGAACCAAAATACAATCTACAATTCCTTTAAAAATATTTCATCTTCCAGAAATCAATTAATCGGTCCATTTGAGATCAAAGAATTACAATCCAGAACTCGAAGAGCTCCATCAATTCTTTGCAAACGAAGCAAAGCCAAGCTAAACGATTACAATAAAAAATTCTCAAAATTAAATAGCTAGAAGTGAGTAACATTTTCGATGATTACTCGACGGAAAGGGGAAACACGTCCGTGCGAATCCAGCGCCCATTGTTACCATCGTTGAATATATTTTCGGCTCACCGAGTCACGCGTCAGTCGGCGCGCAGCGTTTCACGAATAACCTCGCAGGACATATTCCCCGTTCTGTTTAAAAATAACGTTCATGTTCTACAAATACACGGTTAGTATCATTTCGTTACCAGGATCGTTGTGATTCCATCGTAAAGTGTTAGAGTTTAAACTCTACGGAATTAGATGACATTTATCTCTTATCTTAAATATCTCTTATCTTTATGTGTGAATCATTGTAGTACAATCGTCTACAAGGGTGAACGGTGAGACACAGCGCCAGCAGGTATCAATCGACAAATATTTCTATTTCTATCGGTTGTAAGTAATTACAATGAAATTCACCGTAGGAATTACAAGTAACTTCAGTGTTAGTTTACATATATAAAATACAATACATTTGCGAATTATATGAACATCGCACAGAGTACATAACTACCTATATTCATTATCGCATGTATGATGTAATATCGTACTGTCAAAGAAACTGATGCCACACATACGATAGCCTACAAAAGAAATATTATATCTGAGCTTTGTTTGGTAACAGACTGCACATATGAATAATTATATAAGAATCTACAGTAAAGTATTGTTCGATAAAAGTTATCATTTCTTGGTCGCCGAAGACACGCAACGTCGGCCGATTAAGACAGCCAGCCACTGTGAATCCGGTTCTGTAGAAGTACCGATCAATAACTCTCTCTGTTTCGGTTGCCCAAACGATAACAACGGCGATAGTGTCACGTGCCCGGGGAAAGCATGAATTAAACCGATAACGAGATTTGTGGCGTTACTTTCGTGTGCCCTCTAATGTCGATAATTGGATCGTTCAACAGCTTGTTTTTACGCGTAACCTAAATAAAGTGTTACCTGCTGACGCTTGTTTCTCTTAAACAGTAATTTGACTACGATGGTACACCTGTGTCATTGTTTGTCCCGCCTGACGTGTTATTGCACCAATTTCTTGTTTCCCAGTTTACCTTCGATGGAACTTATCGAACAAATAATATTTCAAATTAGTCAACAAATAATATTTCGTAACATAGCGAAGTACATGGAACTGTTTTGTTCTCAGGCGGAATGAAGTATGCAGACCCTACCGACTCAGGTAATCGGCTGCATCGGGAAGTGCACTTCCGGTTTCAACCGCGAAGAATTAGACCAGATCACAGATAATATACACAGAACCCTGTCTCACCCACGAGGCAGAGAAATTTTCAGAAGGTACTTGGAGAGACGTCAACTTACGGACAACATTGAATGTCTGGCGTTGTACGAGACCTGTAACCAATTCCTCGAGGAAGGAAAGAGTGATTCGTACGTAGAAATCATCGCAACGTTTAGTAATAATTACGAAATGTTATTCCCTTCAATATATAAAACGTAATCTCACACGATTAAATGAATCTTTCAATATTGAAACTTTTTTTCAGAAATAATCCGTCGATTTAAAATGTAAACCGGTCGCTTGACTCGGTCGGTAAAACAGATTCCGGAAGTGGAAGATTCATTCGATCGATTCAATTTCATACTTTGTGTAAACACCCCGAGTAAAAATGATGTTGATAGGAAATTGTATTTTCAGGCCATCGAGAAAGGTACCTCCACTGGAGCTATTAATAAACCATGTTACCAAAGTGAAAGAAATGGCGGAAGATTTGGATGGCGTTCCTGAAATAGACTGGGCTCTTCTGCGGAGCTTCACGCAGGCTTTGGATAGCCAGTCAAGGACTGATCTGCTCTGCGTCTTGGAGGATACCAAAGACAAATGTAGGAATCATTTGAAAAGCGTTCACGGCAGTTTCAAGAAATACGTATCGGAGCCGTGCCCGTTGACCAAATGATCAACGAACGAACTCTCTTACTTGTTAACACGCATTCCTTCGCATATCGATTGTTCCGTAGTCTTAGAATTATTAAGACGGAGTGGAAGAGAACGTTTTATGCACATTTATGTATGACTGCTGGCCTGCGACGTTGAGCGTCACGGATTAATGTTACTTCTGTACGTTGCGTCGGTGTCTTTACATTTATTTAAACCACATTTGTAATTTAATAATAAAGTCTGTCAGTTTTCACGATCAGTTTCTCTGGGTTTAATTGATTGTTCAATCACTTAGGTAAGCCTTATCAATCTGCGTGTTCAATTGATCGAACGCTTGAAGTCAACTCATTTACGTTGGTCTTGAAGTTGATGGACAGTACTCGTAGCATCTCGGCCGCGTGTCGCGATTCGATTAATTGTTCTTTGAAAATCAGCGAAATGGGAGACGCGCGTCCGCGACGGATTTTGATATCCAAGAAAGAGTATATTGCGAAGATCAACGATATTCACGACACCGTGAATTCTTTGGAAGAAAGCTTTATGGTATCTTGCAGTTTGGAAGCTGAACAATGGTTGAAATACACGACTTTGAGAATGAAGAATAAGTTAGCCGCGGACGACCTAAAGAAAGCGAATAAACTTAACAAAAATATGTTGAGTACGTAAGATAACCCGTGGAATATGCACTTCGTCGCTGTGACAACGTAATCTTGCAGACTTATTCAGACAGAGCGTGACGGATGTTCGGCTCGGGAACGAAATCGCGTTGCCGGAATTCGTGAGGAGGGAAGTGCAAAGGACTTGGCACCAGAAGTACGAACATGGAAATATTTAGAAAACTGCAACTAAATTACTCTAATAAAATATGCTTGAACTAAGTAAATAAACTTATCAGGTACGACGCTTTGTTAACGCAAAATGAGCAACTGAAGGAAAAAGTCGCGACCACCAATCGTCTTCTTAAAGAAAAATGCGCGGAGGTACCTTGAGTGAGCTTTATTGAACAGTCAGATACTAAGTATACATTTTAGATCAATAACCTTCAGCAAAAGATGTTGACCCTCGGAGATAGACTTGTTGAGCGGAACGGAACCGTAGAAAATGTTTGCAGAAAGTATCTAAGGCTGAAGAAACGCAAGGACCAGCAAGAAATCTTGCTACGTGGTTCTATCGAGACACTGCAGGTGCAAATAAGATCAGTTACTGGTTCAAGGCTGCGCAACATTGTCCCTGCAATGATTACAACAAAAATATCTTAAGCTTATTAAAAGTTCAGATTAGTTGTTCATTCATTATACGAAATATTTCAACGACGATGCTTTATATACGAAATATTTTCATAAACGTTCATTCGATAGGACGCATTGAAAAAGGGAAACAACGTGTCTACTAAGAAAGGGATCAGTATGTCGCTGAAGCCAAGCAAGGAGGCGTTGCTGGCCCAAGAAACTCGACGCAGCGACCGTTTGGCGCACGAGAACTCCCTCCTGAGAATTCTCCTACAGGAAGCGAGGCGCGACAGCGGAACCAGCGGAAGTACCAGCACGGTTACCTTCGAGGGAACTCATTAATCGGCAACGAAAACTGCAAGCCTCGGTTGCGTTACAAAATACAAAGAAACTATCATCGCAGTCATCGTGCGCCAAGAAGAATCCGTAAAACTGCAGAGTTGCTCCTTTGCAGCGCGTTAAGGGGAATTCCGGGCGTCCGGTGTTCCGCCGATGTTTAAGGACATCGGAATTATGCAACTAAAGGTAATAACCGGATAAAAGTGTCACCGTAAATTGGATCAGCCTCGATCGATGCCCAGTGCTTCACTATAAAAACAGCGACGCTCCTAAAAGTCGTCTTACTTGGTGCTGAACAGCATCGAGTCCGTTCCGGAGCTCGATCTCGCCCGATCGACATGTAAATTAAGTACAATTTTAATAATTACACCCTAAGTGCCACGATAAAACGTCGTCGAACTTCCAATTCTAATACTCATTTCCTCTGCAGGTTTACGAGATTCAAGCATCCGAAGTGCATCGTGAAACTCAATCAGCAAACGTAGAATTACTGGGATCACTATGTCGAAGATATACCAACTGTTCCTGACGATATATTCGGTGCTCTTTACGCCATCGATCGCTCTACTGTTATCGTGCCTGTATCTCTATCGCTGTGCAATCGATATCATCCTGAGGATACAACTGAAAGGGAAGTACGTGGGTCTTCTCGACGGAGCGGACAGTATTTGGGCCATAGAGGAGCCCTCGGCTCTATCCGTGAGCAACGTCCTCTTGATTTTCGAGAAGGACGCTCGACACTCGAACACGAACTTCCTGGACAGCTTCAGGGAGCTGGTCAGGTCTCGCGTCCTCCCGTCGCTGCACGAGAAGCTTCTGTACAAAAGGAGGAAGAGGTTCGGCTACTATTATTGGGAGAGAAGCGAGGAGATCGATCTGAAGGAGCGAGTCAGGTGGCTGGAGTACGAGCGGACCAGCTGCGACGGCTCCTGCGACAACGTCTACAACGGCCATTTGAAGAGGGTCCTGTGGAACGCCTGCAACCAGCCGCTTCCCGAGGATCACGCGGCTTCCTGGGAGATCCTGGTCGGCAAATGCTGTCCGAGGTCCAGTCACCATTATCTCCGGAGGCTGGAGGAACGTTTGACCAGCAGAATCAAGATCCCCGTCCTCTTCAGGGTACACCATTCCCTGGGCGACGGCATGGCGCTGTTGAAGTTCTTCAAGGAAGTCATCGTTGACAAGGAACCGATGCAGGAGACGTCCGTGCACATCGAGCCCATGAGTTTCAGGATCAAAAGCGAGGAATTACGGAGGAACAACGGCTCGACCGCCGAAACCAATGCAGGAAGGATAAATGTAGTGAAACCGACTCTGATCGGGGATAGGAGTCTGCAATGCTCCCTGCAGAAAGACGTCATGTCCGCTTCCATGCCGTTCATTCACTTCGTGCTGCTCACGCAGACCTTGAAGCTGATGATCGCGCGATTCTCGCAGACGTTGAAGTTCCTGCGGACCGTCACTTTGGAGGAACTGAAGAGGGAGGTGAAGACGATTGCCAGGAACGAGGGAGAGAGGATGAAAGTCTTCTTTTCGGAACTGTGGAGGAAGATGAGGAGGTGGACGAGAGTAGCCAGGATCGTTATCGGGAGTCCTGCTTGCTTGGTTGGACAGGCTTTCCGTAGCATGGATAACAGGTCACTTTCCTTTTCATTGGTTCTTATGAATAGTGCTTTAGCTCTGTAAACAATTCAATTCTGTTGCAATAGAAATAGGGAAGACGTTTATCTAATTATTGCTTTCGTGTTAATCTTCGTAAGATTCTTCCATACGTTTCTTGTAAACATTTCGTATTCTGGTCTCAGTGCGCTTCACGGAGCAGAATTGACTGGCGAGAAGTACATATCCTACTGGCTGGAGGACGATTTCAAGAACACCTGCGACCAGAGACTCTTCGCGAAGATACAGAACATCAAGAGCATCACTGGCGCCAGATTCGGTGACGTTCTACTGGCTGCTCTCTCCGTTAGCTTGCACAAATACTTCATTCGTGTATGTAATGCTTAAACTAATTACCTCCTGCTTGGTCTGCTAACCGTTAAACTAATTAGCTTCACTTTACCAGGCGAGCGAACCTGTCCCGAATTCGCTGAGCGTCGTTATACCGGCGAAGATAGAGGAATGGAGCGAAGACCGGCCTCTGCAGAACAACATTTCGGTCGGAATACTGCCGCTCTGCATTTCTCAGATAAGCGGCAAAGCGTCCGCGAATCCGATCGAGAATTCTCAGATCTTGGAGCGACTCGAGGACGTTAGGAAATCGCACGATCGGCTGAAAAAGAGTTCGGACTACATGGTGAACTTTCTGGTGATGAAGTACCTGTCGGCTATACTTCCCGAGAAGTTCATGCGGCCGGTCCTCAAAAGTCACAGCACTCTGGTGTTCAGCAACCTGGTTGGTCCTCGGGAAGTCAAGGTCTTGGGGCATTCGGTGAAGAATATCGCTTTCTGGATACCGAACAGGTGATTATCGGATCGGCAGCGAACCAATCGCTGGGAAATCATTGCGGAAGCGTCGAAACAATGTAGGAATATATTATTTGCAGGAGTAACACGGGAATCGGATGTTCACTGCTAACTTATCGAGGCTACCTGCACCTGTCTTTGATCGCCGACAAGGCGCTGGTGCACAACGAGAAAGCTCTCACGCAGATTCTGGAGAGCACCGTGCACGAGATCGAGAACCTCTACGACAGACTGACGCTGTCCTTCTTCTCGAAGAAACTCCGCAGGAGTATGTCGACGCCCACGAAAAAAGGTACACAGCAAAGACACTGGAAACTATGAAGACACATTAGTAATTGTTCATTACGATTTCAGCGATCGGTGTGTTGTAAATTTGTGGAGAGCGAAGTCTTCACGACCGTGACTTTTTTATTGCGCGAGTGCACTGTGTCGTCTCTGTGTGAAAGATTTTCTATTGTAAGCGAAAGGGTTTTATAACGAACAAAAAAAAGAGAAACAGAAAAACATGGATAGTCATAAGATTATTTCACCATTAACGTCTTGTAAATAATCGCCCTGCTATCGTAATATCCTTTCAGGCTCGAAGATGTTTGAACTTACTTATATCTGCAATGTCAACACTTTCGTCGTCTAAAACTGTATTTCTATCAACGTGTACATGTATCCTCTGCTAAATGTATAGGTGTCCTTAGAAAACGCTGCGCGAAGGAATCGGGTAATCGGTTTGTAAAGATTGTACAGTTGTAATATTAAAAAGAACCTGCGTACACGAGTTCTCCTTGTAGAAGGTAATACGCTTAGAAAATAAGGGAAGCACGGCTTCCGTGTCCATTATGCCTCTTATCTACAATTTCGAATAATGGGCCAAGAGGGAAGTGACAAGGGAACTGTAAAACATCAGCAAAGCGGGAAATTCGAGGATTATTTCCAATTGGAAGTTAATCGATCAACGGCTCGACTTCAGGAACACGTAGGGCCAGAAGACGATGTCGAAGAGGGTGTTAAAGAAAGAGAAATTCCGACGATTCGACATTTTCCGGCTGGCGTTCACCAGTGAATTCGATTTTCCTCGGGAAACCAGCGGACTTCTCGTTTTGATTTTACTCCGTTTCCTCTTCTTCCCTTTGTCGTTGCTCTTATCGAACGACGTTTCTTCCGAGCTCGTGTCGATGTACTCTCGGCGTCTCAGTGGCCTGTTGAAACATCAACGACGACATTAACCACAATCTTCAATTATTATTCGAGTAGATTTCTAGACGAACCATTTCTTTTCCTTGCATTCTTCCGGCGACAAACTCTTCGAATCGCTGTCGTCTTCCGGTCGACTCGTGGATGGTAGATCCTGATTCGTGCAGGTCTTGCAGGGACAATTCAATTTCAGATTCTGCAGAATCGATAGAACTCTGGGATCGTCGATTCCATCCGTGATAGCCGGAGATTCGTCGGTCGACGAGTTCAGTAAGCGATCGGCTGCTTCCGTCTCGGAATTCCTCTCGTCGTCCCAGACCACTCTGAATGAAATTTAATAATTGTCTTAATATTAAAGCTACCAAACGGATCAAGGTAATCCATTACTGATTTCTTCATTCTGCAATTATTAGGTAACTGATATTCTGAGAAGTTATTAAAGAAATTGATCTAGCATTACGCAAACTGAATTATAAATCAAAGTCGCGGTAGAGCACTCTCGAAGTTCCTACAGAGGAATTTCGGAAAGTCAATTTAACTGCTCGGTAGGTTTAGGGTTAATTATTATCTTCCTTCAATCCACTATTACATATTCTTATACGATTTTCAAGAGCTAACTTCGTTTCTTTGTTGGTTTCTTTGAAACGAACAACATCTTGCTTAATTTCCTCTTGACTGGTTTCTTTTATCTTCTTTTCCGATATCTCAGTACTGTAAATATATATATTACCAACCGGAGAGAACACGTAAGAAGTGAATTTTATCAGAACATTTTAACTAACTTCTGATCGCAACCGGGTGGACACTTCGAGTTAGTGCATTCCTTCAACTTCTTTCTGGGTGTAATTCTTTTGGCCTGTTGCACATCGATCGTTCAATTGTAATTAGAACCACAGACTCCTATTTTATCTAGCTTTACTTAATTCGAATACCGGATGTAACTCAGGAACCGTTTGAATCGGCAGCGCCACGATCTTCGCCCTAGGAATTCTGCTGCCTTTCGCTTGTGGAATCGGCGATTTCACAGAGTGTTCGGAATCGCCAGGTTTATCGTTTTCCTCCGACCTCTCGTCCTCCGCTTTATCCTCTTGATCATCGTTGCCTTTACCGATCACTTCGATCGTCGTGATCTTGTACGACAAGTTCTGAGCATCCGTAGTTTTCTGTAAATCAGCGAACCTTCGTGCCACGTCGAATACAGTGAATTACCGATTCATAGCGTCAGTGAATCTAGATAATTCTCCGAGAGTTTCGATAAACGATAGGAACCAACGAGAAGAAAGACAGCTCGAACCTTCAAGAAATCAGTGAAATTCTCCACGTCGACGACTCCATTCACAGTGACATTCTCCTTTTCGTCTTTGTCGTCGTCGGAAGTGCCGGACGCAACCGATTCCGTCGCACGATCCGCACTCCTGCTCGCCGACGATCGAGATCGTCCATTGCTCTTCGCTCGCTTCGTCCCGGGCGCCTGATATCTTTTCTGAAAATTCTCCCTTGACGTAAATCTGCTTTCGACACGTTCTCCTGCTTTCTCCTCTTTCCAAGCGACGCGCCACTAACCATCGGATAGCGACCGTTCTTCTTAAGATCGAGGAAATTCGGCACATCCGGTTGACTGACAGCTGCGTCGTAGTCGTACGTGATCGCCGACATCTTCTGCTCGCGATTCCTTCCACTGAAACGCGGCGTGGGCGATTTCTTCCCCGATGGCGCTTCGTGGATCCCCCGTTGCGACCTCGCGCTCATCGTTCTCTCGACATGGCGACGATTCCGGCTGTAGAAGCGTTGGAATCGGAATAAATATTCTACATCCATTCCTTTTTGACTGTTTATTATACTGACAGGATTCGAAGATTCTAAATCGTCTTTTGATTCGCTTGGCATTGACTGTAAATCTTTATACAAATCTTATGATCTTGAAGATCTTAACCCTTTGCACTGAAAGTTTCTCACTTGAAATGTTCAATACTTTCTAATTAGATGAAGACGAGATTTTCTTTTAACGTTTCACGTATTGATGCAGTACACGAATGTTAATGGTAAATATCAAGGTTTACAATTTTGCTGTATCAAATGGGAGTCGCCTCTCGAGTGCAACGGGTTGAAGATCTTAATTCAAATGGTCTCGATCAAACGGTCTCTTAAAGATCTTAATTCAAATGGTCTCGATCAAACGATCTCTTAAAGATCTTAATTCAAATGGTCTCGATCAAACGGTCTCTTAAAGATCTTAATTCAAATATTTACGAGTATAATTAGAAAACTAGTATGATCATGAGAAATAGTTTTTCCTAACAAACGTAAGCGTTATACTTCAGACATTTTGTATATTCCCTCATGTGTGCATTCCGTGCAATTGTAATTGCAAATATTACATATCGTCCGGCTAATTGCTGCAATGACGATAATCAAGCACCTTCTTCACCTTTGCCGTATCCACCTTATTGTTCCCATTCAAATCTCAATCCACATTAACGGAACCGCGATTCGCGAGCGTACGTTTCAAATTAACGGTGCATTACCATTTCGTCGATAACAAATTTGAAATTCCCAGTCCCGTAATATATTCGTTTCATTAAGTCGTCGGAGTTCGTGCATTATGATACGACAGAATTTATAATGTCCCGACCGACATCGCGAGATTGCCGTTTGCATAATCGAGGCGTACGAGGAAGCGATCGAGCCGCGAGTATCAGGCTCCAGACGTCCTTTCGCGTGCTTGCGTGGCTTCAGTTTGCTCCAGAGCTTCAGGACTCCGTTCGAGGACCCTCGATCCCTCGATCTCTCGATCGTCTTGAACGTCAGGCTCCGTTGATCGACAGAGGTTACGCGTTTCGCGGGTTTATCGGTCCATTTCTGCCCTGTCTTCCCTGTCTGGGGCGGCGGCTGCGCGGCGCGGCTCGGTTTCCGGCGGAAATGCGAGTGGAATCGGAAGTGTGCTTTCCTGGAGTTCGCCAGTATTCCCGGTTATCGGATCGCGGTCACATTTTATTGGCGAGGTCGCGCGCCGCGTAATTCCTTGTTGATCGTTCACCGTGCTCCGCGAACAAAAGGCGCTCTCGTTCGGATCCCAACGCCGCCTCGATCGCGGAGGTTCGCGAGAATTCAAAGCAACGGAGTTCCTCGATCTTGGTTTTATTGAATCATCAGTAAAATGAAGCGGCGTCTGGAACTGCCGTTTTACGTAACATGGAGTAGAGTAAGGAGTTCTGTTTCGTAGAATACAGAATTTCGGTTTATTCGTGTCGCTGTTATTGGAGTTGCGAGGACGCTTCTGCGAGGAGTGTATAATTATATTTGTGCAGTATCGACAATGGGAATCGTTAGAAATCACTGGAAATTTATTCTCGTAGTTCTCGCGAGGAATTATAAACCAGTCGATATTATTCCTCGGTAGTTCTAGCCTTGGACTCGATAAAACGTATTTTACAAATGTTTGGAGAGTTTCGCGTACTGCGAGTGCGCGAAGATCTGCGGTCTAGAAATAATTATTCAAGGACTCGATCGCATGTAAATTCGTTTGTGGATTTTTGTACGTGTTTATGCAAATTTCTATGCAGGCATTGATCGACGAAGACGGAGCTTTTTATCTTCTCGACCTGCAGATCATCGGTTCGTTTCACCTGTGAAATTTCATTCGTAGACGGCGGATGTTTCCGCGCTCGCAGCGTCGTTTCGCTTGTAGAATCGAATAGAATAAAAATTTCAGTACACATGGAATATTACGTACACGTTATTATTGGCACAATCTATCAAAATATTCCCCTGTCACGGGAAACAAGACTATAGCTAGATCTTCTTTACAAATCGCTGTCTAAAAGTGGAAATCCTCGTAAATGACGGTCCATCCGTCAGTCCCGGTATAAGCTTAGAATTTCGAGACCGTTAACCGGTCTGCGTGTAAACATTTTAAGAAACATTCCTTCCCGTTCAGTTTGATTCGTCCGTTTCGGCGGAACGGGAGTCTCGTCGGTTCTCGAGCTACTGAGGGTAGTTAATTCCATGGTGAGAGGAACGAATATTCACGTTGCCGAGTAATACTGTTCTACGGAATCATTGTCTCAGCATCGGCCTGTGTAGGAGAATACGGAGAACGAATCTCGAAATCTTCTCGTACGCCAGGAACATCAGCGCGGCCGTGAGAACCGTTTGGAGCAGCTTGGCTTCCATCCCCTTGTACATTCCCGCCATTCCTTGTTTCCTGTCGGACGATCATTCATAGAAGCGAATCGTTGGATTATTCGGTAATTCAATTACTTACTTCAGTATGTATAAAAGTATCCGTAACGTGCCGGCATCTGCTGGAAGATTCGGATACTTGTGACCTTGCTGAAAAATAAGTCTCCTATGCAATGTCAATTGGAAATGTCAAATTTCGAAATATTCAATTATAAATTCAAACGACTGTGAAAAAGAGCATGGTGCGCAATTGGATCTCTCAATAGGAATTCTGCATGATAAGTCTGAACAGCCTGAAGTCGTTGATTTACCCTGAGTTTCGTCTGAACCAGTTGCAAAGGATAAGTCAATGCTGTGGCGACGGTTTTCGCTATGGCGCCTATGGCGAAGAACATCCAAGCAGGTGGCGGCGCGCCGTTCAACGATCTGGTGATCCGCCTCTTGATGCTTTCGTAAGTCATGAACTGGATGGCTGGGTTCATGACGAGCATCAAACTAGGCAAAGTTCCTGCCCAAAGGTTCGCCAAGCCCTCGTATCTCCATATGTGAAGGAGGCCGTCTGAAATACAAGATGGAAACTCAATTATAGAACAAACACAAACATATTAAATCACTCTGCAAACAACGTCTCAGTGATTTTAGCTTCCGATAAGCATCTAAGTACAAAGTTTCATTGGAAATACGAGTTTTACATATTCATTAGAGGCTACATTATGCAGTTAGACACTTTGTCATGCCTGAGTAGGTAGTAAAAACGGTTTAAACGATGCTCAGCGATTATTGACAAAACAGATGCTGTTAAACTGATTACATAAACACCTTCGTGGTAGGCTGTCTTACGTAAGCCGCAGTTTTTTTACCGTACAACGTGCTGTATTCGTTGTTGTTCCTTTCACCTTGGCCGACGCCTTTCATCTTCAGTCTCGTGTTCACCACCCACAAGGGTGTGGTCGTCAGAACATTGATTACACCTGGAACGATGAAAAAAAATAGAATATTCACGAAATTTCAGTTCCGAATGCGAGATACCATAAGAAAATTTACACTCGGATTACAGAAAATTCACGTTCGATAGGGTTAACCATTTGCACTCGACAGTATTTCTCATTAAAAATATTCATTACTTTCTGATTAAATATTGACGATACTCTTCGCAACTAACACGATTGATTATCTTCTAAATTAAGAGACAGAACTATTTTACTTCTTTAACCCTTAACCCTTTGCACTCGAGAGGTGACTCTCACCACCAGATTTCACACTGTAAAACTATAAAATTTGATATTTAATATTACACCTTATACAACGCATCAATTTGAGAAATATTGAAATAAAATAGCTCTGTTCTTCAATGTACGTTACGATTTCTTTGCGAGTTTCACAAAATGTCGTTTCTATCGTCGGAAAGTGTGAAAATATTTCTAGTGAAAAACTTCCGAGTGCAAAGGGTTAATATTGAATTGAAAATTCCATAAGTTCGCTGCGTCGAATCAGGCGGCGACTGTAAGGCGTCCCTCGAGCGCGAAGGGGTTATTATTCGCAAATGACTGTACCAGCAATAGATGCAACCAGCAGGTCGTTCCCGGCGGTTTGGTTTCCTCTAGCTCTGAATTTCTTCAATCCGTGGAATGTGTAGAAGTAAACAAAATTGCTGGCGCAGAGGCTCTGCAGAACCGGCACCATTCCTCTGTACAAGGTGCACCTGGGTAGGAAGATACACGATGAAAAAAAAGATCGGAGTTACACGAAAGGTAACCGCGAACGCACGGGTAATGATGCAATGGTAAAACGTTCGCGAAGAGACATCGAATGAGATTCGCCAATACCGGTTCATCTGTGCAAACAATTTAATTCGAACGCGGTGTAATTATTGCCTCAGCAATTACCGTATCCCGGCTTATTCAATTTGCATTTATTATGAAAATCAACGTACGGTCCTTCCTTCATGACGAGTTCGCGTATCATCGCGAGCGTGTTCTTCGGTTCCCGGCCTTCCTCCACTATGGAAAAAGAAGAAGAGGCGATTAACAGAAGACAGAGAACTCTCGAAGCACGTTCCGACTCACTAAAGTACCCAAAATCTCTCTAATTAGTACCAATTCCGAATACATTTCCCAGTTCCTTTTTATTCGTCATTAGTTTATTGTTACTCGTTTCTTCGCGTCCTGCTTATATATTCATTAATTCCTTCTCCATTTCAAATGAACTCCAATTAATTATACCCATTATATATATATCATATATATCATTCCCAAAATACCCAGCATTATTTACTTCATTCTCCACTTCGAATCAACTAATTACACCGACTCTTTACATACGAATATCAATATCAATCTCTCTACTCGATCATCATTTCCAAAATACCCAGCATTATTCACTTCATTCTCCACTTCGAATCAACTAATTACACCGACTCTTTACATAGGAATATCAATATTAATCTCTCTACTCGATCATCACTCCCAAGATACCGATTTCCAGAAATACGTCTTACATACGAACAATACAATCGGAAGCAAGTGTCACGTATAAAATTTCGTCGACTCAAAGTTCACGTTTGCACCGGCGACAAGTAGAAACTGCAAATCACGCGCCGACGACCGTATGACATTTAAATTCAACTACCTCGCGAACGAGGCAACGAACGAATTTGTTCTTTACTCCTCGTTTTAGGCGTTTTTTACGGGCGAAATTTAGCGTCCGCTTGTTGCGCGATTCGTATCGTTTTGTGTACACTTTGAAATTCTAATTACGCTGTATGACTCACTCTGCAGACGGCTTCGCACGGTGTCCAAAGGGAAGAAGGTCGCCATGGCGACGACGCTGCCCTGCAAAACATTAAGCGTAAAAGACTCACGCGATATTCGTGATTTATGCAAATTATGCTTACGGCTGCGCCGGATATCGCGTGCACCAGGGTCTCGTAGGTGAACAGGCTCCTGTTGTACCCATCGCCGCCCATTTTTCTCGAGTAACGCTTGATCCGGGAGCGTTCGCAGAATGTCCGGGATTGGAAGATCAATCGGCGATCATGCCGACGCGTGATCGATCAGCTACAAACACGTGTTTATCTGCAATCACCACGAATTTAACGGTTATCGGCGGCTTCACGGTGTAACGACGTGACAACGGATTAGACCTTTGACTCGGTATCGAGGGACGTAGCGAGAGTTTTAATTGGACCGCGCGTATTTGGCGTTCGCGTCATACTTCATTGATTCAAATTCGGCGGAAGTCTCTGTTGGTATACGCTTTGTTATCCGTAGTTCAGTGCGGTCGAAATGTTTACCGATAGAATTCTGTTTCGTTAGAAATAGTGGAGTTGTTATATTGTGCAGTTGTATATAGTAGAATAGTACTGAATGATAGTGGCAGTAATGCTAAATATAGCAGTAATATTGTTAATAGTAGCAATAATACTAAATTATTTGATTATTAAAGAATTTGAAGATTTCTATGGTTTAACAAACATAAATGTCATTGAGTTGTGTTAAGTTTAAATGATACATTATTGTTCTTAGCAGTTTGTATGGTTTATACTAAATCTAGATATAGAAAGAGCATGGAATGTTTTTTACTAGTGCATTATTAATAAATAGTTGTATCAAATGCACCTATGAAATTCAATCGTAAGGCAAGGGGTTAATAGTAATAATACTAAATATAGTGGAAAAATATTAAATAATAATTATTCTATGTATAGTAGAATAATAGAGACATTTGGGGAATAAATGAAGTACAGTAACGAAATCATTTAGAAGATAAATAGTTGAGTGTTTTTTTGAATGAACTTCAATGTTTGTGAATTGTACGATTTCGTTTGCATAGAAGGTATTTGAATAACTTATAATGTTACGCATCGTATAGATCAGGAAACATATATGATTTTTATACCCCAAATAAATCTCTCAATACCTTCAAAAAATTCCACTGCTACCGTAAGATGATCCCGACAGAGAAATCAATTCCAAAGTACTCCATTTTGGGAGTCGTAACAACAGTACGAATGACCCGGCACCCCGTGCGCGGATAAACAATCAGCCGACACCGGGCGTCGAGTTCTATCAACATTATCTAGATGACGGTGACACTATCGCTTGTAATTCGATTACTAAACTATAATCAAGTTACTTGAATCGATAACAACGTTGCACGCCGCACACATATTGCAATAATATGTTTACTTGACAGTTAACCTGCGATCGCACACATCGATCCTCGACATGATTCCAACGTGGAAAAAGTTCATTTGTCACTAACCAAGATACGATTACAAAAACACCGATATCGTCGATCAATTTACAAAACACAAGACGAACATTTCGAATCCAATTCAAACTCTCGTTTCACCGAATTCCATTAGTCACCGTTACAAGTACCATCGAGTCTTCTCGCATTTTACACCCTCGGCTCCCTCGGTGATAATTCTCAATTTTAATGAATTCTTTAATTAACCCTCTGCACTCGAGAGGTGACTCACCGCTTGGTTCCACACAGTAGAACTATAGAATCTAATATTCACGTTGAACTCCGTACAACGCCTCGACACGTGAAATATTGGAATAAAATATTCGTGCGTACCGTCTTCGCCTCGTCAGAAGCTGTTAAACATTTCTGGTAAGAAACCTCCGAGTGCAAAGGTTTAGCTTTAATTCCGAATCACTTGAGATTCCCCTGTAACGTTCACCAGCTTTCAAATATACTCACAATTTCAGTGTCCATCACTCTTTTATCGTGAATCAGCATTCAAACATGCACTCCATCATGTCTTTCTCATTCCCTTGATAATTTCCTATTAGTTCCAAAAGCAAGAAGACTTCCCAATATCCCTAACAAGTACGAGCCAACTAAAGAATTCTGTCCGCTCGTCGCCGATCAAGTACGATGAACACAATAGGCCTACATCAGACCGTGTCTCCAGGTACAGCGAATCGCGTGCACAGTGGAACAGGTCCCACGTCCGACGATTATCAAGAACCGATTCGCGGGACGTCCGGAGATAACCGAGATAGCGGTATCGCTGTCCCGTGCGGCGAGCCGTGTACGCGACCGCTTCGTCGAGGTGCGACCGTATCGCGTGCTGACTCGACGAGTGACGCGCTAACACTGCCGAGGAAAAATTCCGTAATTTCATCAGTCTGGGGGGAGACAGAGAGAGAGAGAGGGAAGGAGCGACAGAGAGGAAGAGAAAGGTAGCAGAGAACCACGTGCCGATCGTCGCCTAACGCTGTTACGCGAGAACGAGCGGCCTTCGCGAGTCGCGGGCGCTGCCGATCCGATTCAGCGCGTCGCTCCTAGGCACTCGCGAACAGTACGAGAAGACGTCGAAGATTCCGTTGGAATAATGAAGACACAAAGTTCCTCTGTTTCATAGAGAAGAGGATAGAGGAACGTGCAGGCTCTATTCTGTCAGAAGAACCGCAGATGTGACACTTTCCCGCTAGCAGCTCGCGTGCGTGCCTTAGGCAGCTCTCACGCGACCACATGGCGATGCCAACAGTACAATGGACACCGGAATTACGTGTAAACAGGACAATGGAAGCGTTCAGACGACGATATTGCGCGATACGGTAACTCGATAGTCAGTTTGGGTGTATCGTGGTAGATGGACGTTAAAATCGGTCGAGCGGTGCGGGTGTTCCAAGCGATACGAGGGATGGATTGATTGCAGTTTTATCGGGATTCGGAGCTGCGATTGGTGACTGATACTGACAGGAGTTGCGTCTGTTAGCAGCTTTGGAGGGGTTGGGTTCTATTTTAATATACGAACGTTGCGTAATTATTACGAAGATGGCTCTGAATTGTAAAATCATCGCTGAGTTTTAAAATGAACGACGTACAGGCTGCTTTAACTAGGTCTAATGCTAGAAGTTTGATTCACGGCTTCACTGCTGGTCGCAGAGGCGACTGTGTATTCTCGTGTCGAGACGACAAACAAAACACTAGATCAAATTGTGCCGTTCACGTGAGAGCGACGTATATATGGCATACTTGTATCGCGAGACGCGTATCGTCGTACGGAAGCGGCCTTACCGCGCACAAATGGCCCATTCAGAATGCGGGCTCCGACGGACAACGCGGCGGCGATCGTTGGACTGCTCGGGCTGGCCGGCTAAGCGGAACGCGAAGATTTCCCTCGTATCATCGTGCTCCATCCGTGGCACGATAAAATTACTTCGGCCATGACGGCGCGGCACGTCGATCAACACGCTTGCGCCGTCCTCCTCGCGCTTGCGGCCCGTGCCGTGATTCAAGAGGTCGATGCCGGCGTTCGGCTGTGTGCACATGCGTGCCTCTGGGGCTCGCTTTTTGATTTGAATCGGGATAAATGGGATGCGAATCCCGCTGATGATCACTGAAGTTCCGTTGAGGCGAGTTCGATGGATTTTCAGGATTGACGAGTTAATGGGAGGTGTGAGGATCGTCGGTGGGGTTTCGGGGTTGCGAAGATTGCGAGGAGTTCGGAGATCATAAAGATTTAAAGAGCTTGGGGATCGTGAAGGTTGCAAAGATTTTGGAGATCATAAAGGTTGCATAGATTGCACAGATCGTAAAGACTGAAAAAATTGCATGGACAATGAAGAGTGAAAAAATCGGGTAGATCATAAAGATTGAAAAGATCGCATAGATTATAAAGACTGAAAAAATTGCATGGATAATGAAGACTGGAAAAATTGCATGGATCATAAAGAGCGAAAGAATTGGATAGATCATGAAGAATTGGAAAGATAGATCACAGAGACTGCGAAGATTGTATAGATCATAAAGATTGCGAAGATCACAGAGATGTCAAGCGTCAACAGAACCGTGAAGCATAAAATATCATTAACTTCTGCGAAGTTCATCAAATCCGTAAGATTATAAGACAAGAATTAAGAGTCACAGGAACACGATTACCCGCGTGTTGTCATTCCAATAATATCTTCACCAGCTCATTATCATTCTGCAACTCACGGCAATAAAACGTTAACGACACGCGTAAATTGTACTCTTCTTAAAAATATCGCCGCGTGTGTCACTACCGGACGCCCGACTCTCGATTCCGAGATAAGGCTCGAATTCCCCGCTCTCCTTTTAAAAGTCATACACTTACCGTAACAGGATCGACGTTGCTTTAACAGCGGAACTATAAAACGTATATTGCATCTCGAGTAGCGTGAAGTGGGACGACGATAAATCAACCGGAAAGAAATAGGGGAATCCGAACCGGGAAGCTGCGAGAAAGAAAAATAAGCGGGGAAGCGTCTGGCGCTCCCCGCGAATAAAATCCCGTCATTACGAATGCGCCGGAGTTTACATGAAATCTGCTCGTTGTTCCGTAACTGTCGCGGAACAGGGATAATTCAACCGATCCCGCGACGCGTTATCCGCGCGCCGAGAGGCTGGGAATTTCAGACGGGCCTTCCACGGCGAAATTTCGCAGCTCGTTCGTGGTTATCGTTGCCGTGCTTCCGAGATATCTTCTATCTATTCCTCCGCGGGGAATTCACGTGACGTGGTTCGTTAGACCAGTGCACTGGCCTCGAATTTCACCCGTTAAAATAAAAACCACCCTGCTTCGCGATCCAGATGCAACGGCTCCCTTGAGCGCACGCTCCTCTTAGCCAATAAACATGATTTTCAATGTGCTGTTCCCTCCTCTGCTTCCCTTTAACTGGAAACATATTCTTCACACTTTACGGCATCAATGTTTACTTACTGCGTTATTGTTTCCACATAATACGGTGGATTGGAATATTTCCTAACGAACATTCCTGTTTTAATTTCTGCCGCTCGCTTTCTCCTCCCTTCCAATCGCCGCACGCGTTTCCCCGTCATCTGCGTCCTCCGCAATTTCCTTGGCACCCTCTATAATTTCCTACCGCCTTCGCGCCCCCCCATACTTACCGAACGCATTGCTGGCTAGATTACGAATATTAGGTATAAACTATGGGTCGAGGTACCTCGAGGTCATCGACGGTGTGTCGCAAACACGCGCGGCGCGATGTAATTCCCAAGCCCTCGGAAACGCGCAAAACATCCGGGGTTTTTCGGCGTCGAGCAATTATCAGAGCGATTCGCGGCTCGCGTATGATCAAATTACTCGGACTGGTATCGAGTAACCATCAATGCTCGCGGGGCGAACGGAAAAATGAAAAAGCTTCGGTGTCCCGGATGTTTCCGGTGGACGGGCAATGAATTCCGGGACGCCGGTAAAATACGGCGGACGGTTAAAAAGGAGCGCGGCGGCGTTGCTCTCGAACGGCGTCGCCGGCCGTTTAATTAAAACCGTGGCGAGGGGATCGGCATTAATTACGCGTGATCTCGGACACGGAAAAACTGTTGTAGCGCCGATATTACGGCGGATCGATGAAGGTGACACTCGCATGATGCACGGCGAGCTTTGCGGCGCCTCGTCCGAAATTCCCCGCGTTCTTCGCGGAGTTTAATTAAACATTCCGCGCGCCTGGAATTTTGTGGTCACCGGCGTGCCGGGCCGCTTCTAATGAGGTCTGTGCCTCGATACTTGAGCCGTCGACGCGACGACCTCCGGCCAACAACCCTGTCACGTTCTCCGCCCGGTTCCTTCTTTGTCCCTGGACACCGGAATTCCCTGCATAACATTATTCTACCTTCTTAGAATTTCCCTGATAACGCTCCCCGGCGTTCCGCATTGTCGCAGAGGCAACTGAGTCCGCCCCGTAATTTCTGGAAAAATGACGCCGCGGAAGGGGGAGTTCGAAAGAATGGAAAGGCGGACGAAGATTGCCGGATCCCGCTACGTCTCGCTGGGAATTCTCCGTTGAACGCCGCCGCGCTTTTTGTCTCGCGGAAGATTAACGCTAGCACTACCGAACAGTCGGGACTTTTCTCAATTTTTCTATGGAAGCTCGGCGGGCGTGTCCATTTGGATTCCCGGCGACTTCTCATTCAGTTCGCGTACTCCTAAATCAATTTCTTCGGGAATTTCTTAGAGGAGCGTCTTTTCTTTGTTTAACGCGTCGACTGCCACGAGAATTTCGAGCGTTTTGTTATGGTAAGATTAATTCCTTGATAATAGAAGAAAATAGTATTAATTATCAATGTTTTAGTATTACAGTACACACGTTACACTGTTATCTAGCTTCTCTGTTACTAAGTATTTTGATTCAATGTCAATTTTCTGTAATTGTTTTCGAGCAATTTGGAAGCTCTGGTCACCGGTGACCATGGCAGTCGTGTTAATCATTGTAGAATTCCAAAATGAGCCATTTTGATGTCTAAACTAAACTATGTATTATATATATAATTATATATAATTTGTTGATGTAGACTCGTGACGAACGTTTCTTCGAGTTATCGATTGCTAATCTTCGTGGCGAACGTAAGTGGATGCGAGATATAGAATTTTCTTTTTATAGTGTCGATCTACTTGATGATCTAAAACGTAAATCCACTTTATCGTGCGGTTAACGATTAAGTGAATTTAATCAGCGTGGTTACCGTGGAAATTATAGGTCAAGGGGTGAAAAATAAGGGTATCTTCTCGAAGGGATCTAGCACGGTGTAGAGGAGACAAGGACGTCTTTTGGTAATGGTACCGTTCGACCGCACAGCACTGACCCGTATCCGAGGCTCTTGTCACCAGGAAACGTAAAACTGCGCAGCAATTACTTTTCTCTTTCCTTATCGTTTACTTTTACTGCGTTACGCTCGTTACAGTTTCAGGTGCGGCAGTTTCCGTTGAAATTGTTCGCAGTTTCGACCGCTCCTTCGTGCGATCCTCCTCGCCATATTTGTGCCGGCGCACAGTGGAGTATTCGCTTGATCTTTCGCCGGCAGAAAGTCTATTTTAACGATTTCATCTAAACCGACAAACTTTTGCCGTTTTAGATAGCTGAATACGCGAGGAACAATGTCCTATAAATTCGTTTATCCTCGGAGGACTCGAAAAGTGCTGATCCATCCTGAAAGTTACCTTTAACACTAGCACTACCAGAGGTCAAACCGACCCATGATTTCTTCCTGTTACAATTATGAACAAGATAATAAACAATTCTCCGCGAAATTACTACAGGAATTGGTTTACCAATCGGCAGATTGAATTGTGAATAGAAATGTCAATCACTGTTGAAGTTTCTATAGGAAAATTTCAGAAAGTCAGTTTGTACGGTAGTTCTGCTGTTAATTTTGCGCGATGTTTCGGTGGAATCGTTAAAAAGAACGATACAATCGTTTGAATTCGTAATGAGGATCATGACTCCGTAACGAGGGGAAAGTATATTAGCGCGTGTTGCCTCTAATGGAGTTCGGAGACGTCGTAATTCGTCGTGTAGACTATCTTCTCCGGAAATAGTGAACGGCGCTGATTAAGGTTCGTTTAAACCACACTGAAGTGTCGCGAGGAACGAAACTGCAGCGAACGAACGACGTTTCGAGATGATCTATATCCCTTTTCGAGAAATTTCGAACAGCCTTCACTCTTATCGCGGACGAAGCTGTTTTCACAACGTGAATACGCACAATAGCAGGCTACTAAGTTAATTTGATTTCGCTGCCTTCTTCGTTTGCTATAAAACGGTAAAAAAGCAATAAGTATATTATTACCATTTTTTTTAACGTTGACTTATCTTTATGTCGATCATCACACTTTGGATTAATGGCGACGAGTCGCATTACAAGAAATGCAAATAATATTTAATGTATAATGTACAATCTATAATTCTATAGTTGCACGATGAAAATTCATAAGTGACATTTTCAAATCATTTGACGCGTTCTTTCGTCGTGTCCAGGATGTAGGGCGTTATTCGTTAGAAATTGACCACCAGTTTATTATTGCTTTTTATTTGTTACTCGACATTCGAGACTGAGGTTTGAGGAGCAAGTGGCGTAACGAGACAGTAGACAGAAAGAGAAGTTAATTAACATATCAATCGGATAATTAGTTTCACCACAAAAAAAAACCCGAGGGAATGAATTTTTTCGTGAGCATTAACAACGGAGGCTAATTAATCCGTGGGGAGTTCCTCAAAATATATGTCCTGATTATATCATCGAGGCGTTAGTCCTGCGAGTGACGAGTCACGCAATCGTAGAAATAAAAAATTCTTCACATAATCGAGGTCAAAACTGTTTTCTCCTTCGCTCTTCCGTTATTCGCTAATTACGAATAATTATTCAAGAGTACGACAGAAAGACGCAAGAAGATTTCCTATTCGCAAAAATCAAACGAGGTAAGCATGACGCGATAAACATTTCAAGATTCCGCGTCGATCCGTAATTACTTTGATCTCGTTACCTCGTTCCGCGTGACCCCGCGGAGACTTCCGGAGTTCCCGAGTAGTTTCACCGTCGGTATTCCTGCTGCGACGGAAGTTGGCCCGGCGATTTCCTCTTATTGGAAAAATTAGAGGAATCTACTGGCACTTCGTCAACGGTAATTAAAGAGAACAGTGTAATGGATATTTCTGTTAATTGCCCCGTCGCCGACTCTCATACAAACGCACTGATACAATTCTATGACGAGATACTTATCCTTCGCGACGAAGTCGGTAGATCTTCCTCGATCCTCTCTCCCTCCTAATCTCGCCATCGTTTCGCGGCGAGTTTCTGCAAGGAATTCGGTTAAGAAAGAGAACGCATCAGGATCGTTTACGCATTTATTACAAGAAAAACGGAACGTCATTGGTCCGAAAATTAGGGGATGGGTCGTACGGAAGGGCGGTTCTCCCTTCGGTCGTTACAATAACCGTCTCTTCCTTTCATTTTCAAATTAGCGCGTATGCGTAGTGATGCGGCAAGATTGTTCGAAGCTTCCCTGGTCGTCCTGCATCCTCGGATCGAACGAACACGGCCGAAAAGTCGGGAGCACGGTGAAGCTTGGCTCCCGATCCCGCGGCAATTCGGGAATCGCCGGACTCCGGGAGGATTTCGACGAAAGCGCGGAACGGTGACTGCGGAGCATTCGAAATTAATTAGAATCGATGCGCGGGGATGCTCGATTCCGTGAAGCTTCCATCGGGCATCCGAGTTCGAGCGATACCCGGGTCCGGAGCTTAGCGGCGAATGATCGATCAAACGCATCGGTCATCTCGCAACACGCTCGAAACAACTCAACGCAACGGCGCGCGCGCGTGTTCGCTGGTCGCGTATGAATAAACTAGCTATATACACGTATACGGTATTTGGTTCGGGTCAGCTTCGGAATAATGCTTGAACAGAATCCAAAATTCACGAACGGCCGGCCATGTTTACGGCCGCCGCGGGCCTGGCTGGCTGGACACGCGACCGCGCGTTTCGAAATTTCGTCCCTTGCGATCGGTCGGGACGAAATTCGATTTACATCCCCTTCGCGCCGGCGTTCGCCGGCCAATTTTACGATCAAACGGTTCCCGCGGACGATCGCTTGCGTTTCCGTTCTGTGTTTTCCGCCTGCCCTTCGATACAGATTAAATTACTCCCTTGTACAACGGTTTCTACATGTAACTTCGATTTCCGTGCCGCTCGAACGTTGGAAAGAAACGAACGTGTTTTTGGGAATTGCACGGAAGTTAGAGAGCCGGTGTCCGCGTTCCCAGATACATCGTGGAATTAATTAAGCGGACGGCCAGCTTCGTTTCGGAAGGAAGTAAAAGCGCTGCGAGATACCGAATATTGTTTTCAGCCGACTGGAATCGAATTTTTGCAATTGGATTACTCTGGTTCGCTTGCTGGAACGCTCTCGGGGTGAAAAAGTTGCGGGAGCGGCCCCGTCCGCGATTGCAAATGGCCGACGGTTCCGATGACGCTCCGGGACCGCCGGAAACCACCGCGGAACCGGCGTTCCCGCCGTTTCGCCTAATCACGGAACACTTCCCGGCGTGATCCGTCGCCGATTAATTCATCTAACAAACTCGATCCTCGGTTACAATCTTATTTTAATAGTACACGTTACCTCTAGGACGCTATGCTAGAGCTATTCCCTTCTTTTAATTAATTAAGGCGAGCAGCGTGGTCGGTTGAACGTATCCTTTTTCCTGCGACGATCTCCGCTCGCGACGACCGGCGAGCAACGCTGAAAACCCTGGACATCTTAATTCGTTCCTGTTCCCCGCGACTTCTTCTCCCGCTCGGCGAAGATTAATTGCTCGACCGTACGCGCGGCGGCTATTCGTTTTAACCCTGCTCAAAGCTCTCGCGGTCCTCCGCGATATCCCGTTCGAGGAGTCTCTCATCTCTGCGATTGGCTTTTGTTTAAACACCGACAGTGGAAATTTCTTCTGATTTCTCTAACTTTAACGTTCGTAGAACTTCATCGTAATTAACGTACTTACATCGACTGACAGCGGACAAAATTTCGGGGGTTAATTAATCGTTTTCAAGCGTGAAAGTTACGGGTTTAACCCTAGAACTGCCAAGCGATGAAACTGACTGTAATTCATACAAACTATAACACTGCATTTATTCCAATTATATTTCAGTTCACGAAATGTACTTAATTGTTTCCCAGAAAATCACTCGTGTTTCCTCGATAATTCCCGTTGAAATACGAAGTGTGTCGTTTCGATCTGGTAGTTCCAGGGTCAAGCAAATTTCCTTCGCTTCGCGCGAGAGTTCCTCGGGTTTCGTTCGAATTTCAACGATTCTTGTGCTCGGCGGTAATTAGTGGTGATCGCTCGCGAAGATCGTCCTCCAGCCCAGACCCGTCGTTTTGAAATCGAGGTGCACGAAGTAGCCGGGGAGGATATCACTGAATGGAGCACGTCTTTCTGGTGTCGGACGTTCTGAGGGTGATCCTGGAGCCGGGCGCGTTGTTCTCGTGGCCGGCCGCGAGGGAACACGTTTTCGTCCTCATGATCATCAGGTCCGTTCTTATGCTGGGCCGACGCACGTTGGTCGCGACGACGCCGCAGGCGTCGCTCAGCCGACGCTTTATGCTCAGGGTGGCTTTGGGCCTCGGCTGCAAGCAAATCGTCGCTCTTTCAGACCCTTTAACCGAGACTGCCGCTCCAAATTGTCCGGGGAAACGCGCTAGACCACTTAACCCTGCTAACTGGCTTGCCAATGTTCAATCTGACCACTGGACCGCGGATCTTTATCAAAGGTTTCGTTGAATTCGCGGTGAAAATCATTCTTTGGAATTTCTTACACTTTCGAGTACGCGGGGCATCAACGATTGAATATGTTACGAATGTGTAGAACGGAATTGCAACAGATATTTGTATTGGTACTACAACAGGAGAAAGCAAAAATTGAAATTAATATTAGTGTTTGTTCTGAAATGATTATACAAATATTCAGAAGCTATGAAAAGAAGGGTTCTGACTTAAGAAAACGAATGAACAAGTAAAACATTGAATAACTAAGAAGAATATTATCTATTCCATGAAAATAGGCAAAGACCAGAAAATATCAGAAAATTGACAACCGAATTGATAGAGTCAATACATTACTACGAATAATTTCTATAATAATAATAATTCAATTTCTGTATTACTACGAATAAATCAAAGCTCCACGTTGAAGTTAAATTTCTCCGAATTAAAGTAGCTCTAATTTATAATTCCTGTGAGATATGAAGCTTCGCAAGGCAGTTCCCTCATTCGAGAATTGACTTTTGCAGCTGTTTCATTTTCAAACGTTGATTCATGAAAACGACCGAGTTTCCATTGTCGAACGGAATGCTTTCTGCCTAGTGCATCATCTGACAACGTTAATGTCACGAACCTGCGAGGGCGGTAACATCGTGGGCGAGCCAAAGGTGACGGCGACCTTTCTGTGATGATTGGGTGCCATTTCCAAAGGTAAGCCCGCCACAACGAACAGTTGGTAAAAAAGTTCCTCCACGTGGAAGTTCCCTTTCGCGGACACCTCGACGAAGATGCAGCAGTCGTCCTGGCTGTTGCAGTACTCCTCGGCTTCCTCGACGGTCACCGTCCTGCGGAAAACACGAACGGGCCGCGTGCCGGTAACTCGATTGCCTTTGTCAGCCGGTGGAACGGTGGACCGACATTTTCCCCGTTTGCGCCGCCTGAAACGCGGCTTTGACCAATTATGAATATGCGAACCGGCGGACTGAATCGCCCGACAGGAAAATCAACATTAGCGATGCGATACTTTTGTACGCGCGACGCTGACATTCTCCCACGACAAGTGTGCGAATGTGAAAGAATGATCAATTAAGTTTTGCCGTTCAAAGGGAATCTCCGTTACGAAATGTTTACGTTCGCTTCGATTGAAGGTACCTGTTTCAAACGTCAGCCCTTCGCGCTCGAAACTTTTTCGTTACAAATGTTCCACATTTTCTGACAAGATGTAGACGATATTTTCTGAGACCGAATCGACGATGTTTCAGAGTGACGCGGTATACGAAATTTAATAGAAAATATCGAATTGTATGATTTTACTCTTCAGTTCTCGAGCGCGAAGTTTGAATATTAGCTTTTTGTTGGGAATAAAATAGAAGGGTGCAGATGAAGTGGTCGTGTTTGACGCGGTCTGCATGGGAATCGTGTAAAAGTTTTAATTACGAATCACTTACAGATCACGCGTAATTAAGGGCTATTCAACGTTCGCAGGGAACGGATGGTTCGCTCGTACCTCACGTCCTTATCACATTTATTCCCGGCGATGACCATGGGAACCTTCAAATTGAAGTGACTCTTGCTTCTGCTCTTTGTGGCGCTCTGGGTCGCGCTCACTTTAGTCTCCAGGATCGATTCTCGCAGCCTGATGGCCTCTTCGAAGGACTCCCGGCAGTCCAAACTGAATACCACCACGAACAGGTCTCCTGCATTAGAAACAATGGGGGAAATAAATTGCCTCGCGAGCGTGACATTTTTCTGGCGTTAATTGCCATTTAACACCGGAGTTACGGAACGCGTCGATTTGACGAATATTGATTGTAAACTCTACTCGGTAAACGTTTACGTTCGCTTTAATTGAAGCAATTATTCAAATATGTATTCTAATAGTATATTTTCAAATCTCCAATTTCTAAAATCTAGAACATTAATTTTTCTAAAATCAATAGAATAATCATTTTAATATTAGTATTTCGTTGTAAGCAGCGTGAAACTCGAAATTACCTCGGTAACCATTGAATAAGAGTATTCAACGCGCCGTATAAAGTCAACGATATTTTTGTTAACGAAACACTCCTGTCGGAACGTTTGAATTTTTATGCTTTACGTCGCGACGTGAAAAACGGCGGCGTTAGGTTTCACGCGGGCATCGTTTATCATTACACGGTTTTCGTTTGCATGCAAATTATTCAGAGTGTCTTGTTAAGACCTTCCGTTGCTCAACTTTTTACTCGACAATTCGTTGACAAGCTGTGTCGCGCGGAAAAATACTCTTTCATAAATTCTACTGTCGACAATTCCCGGCGAGTTTCACGCATTCACGGCGAAGCTAACTGTTTACAGACCCGTGTAGTGAAACATAGGAGAAAAATTTGTCTCTCTTCATCTTCTGAACGGTCCTTAATAAAATATATGAATATTCTGTCGCACAGTAACGGTCGTTGTAAACTTCCATTTGGACTATTTACCATCCACTCGAATAGTTCGATTCGCAAAAGGTACCGTTCGCAATTTGCGCACTCCATTTTTAGCTGCGGCGATTTCACGCGAGCAGTTGTGTATTTGATAAAATCGATAAACACAACGGTAAGCCTGTGCTGCACGAGATTTATGAATATTTATCCAGATGCAGATATTTCTATCGGGATAAACGCGACACGTACAGACGCTCGCATGTACGCTGGTACGTTGTACCGTGGCCGTTCCGCGATCGAAGTTTTAACGAGTTTCCCGGCACGTAAAATCCTCGCTGAACAAAAGAACCGGCCAAGGAAACATCGATCGGCTCGTTCGCCGACGGGGAAGCTCGATCACCGAGTTTTTCATGTTCGGAGTACCATCTAAGCTCGCCGGAACTCGGGAAGAGGCGCCATACGGATCGCGCGCCGGCTGTGACATTGTCATTAAAATGATAAGAACCACCACCGTCAGACCTCGATCCACTTTTCAAACCACCGCCCATGTAACGACATCCTTCGTCATTTTTGCGGAACAACTCAGTACGGGAACAGATGCTATTTTTACACGCCGGAGTAATGCGCACGACATATTCAGTCGCATGTGTACAGGATTTTACACTTAGCCGTTTCACTTTGCTCGTAACATTTTTATAGTGCCTGAGAGATACGTTCGTATAAAATTAGTGCTATCCACGTTGTTAATCGATCACCTTTCTCATTAAATATAAACGATTCAAGATTTCTATGATTTAAATGAAAGTTTCGCTATCAGCGATATTGTTAAATCATCTCCTGATAATTTCACGTCTATAAGCTAACGGGGACAAGAAAAATACTCGAACGGAAGTTTGCGAATAACACCGTTTGGTAAGAAAGTTCGATATTTTGAGAACGTCCCGAGTGATCGACGGCACGTCGCACTGACGCTGATTCACGAATAATGGGCGCTCCGGAATGGCTACCGCCCGCCATTTTGTCGGGTCCCAGCGCGCCGCGTCGCGTCGCCGAGAAGACGAATTGTTCTTCAGTTTTCTGTGCTCGATGACGCATTTGTCTCCGGAAACTTTGCCGCGACGTAAACACACCGTTTTGATGTTTAATGCGTTGAATGCAGGTCGATTTTGGAAAGCGGAATAGTAACGAGAAATATACTATTGTACTGTTCCATTGTTCCGCGTTATCATTCTTTGCGCGTTTACCTCGCAGTGTACGTTACTTCACTATAATACAGAAATGTTTCGGAATAATTATCGTTTCGTTGAATGGAATACGGTCATTCGATTCGAACGCAACCGTCGTGTTCGCGCAAATTCGCGTTCGGTAATTTACAGAAACCGGTCGCTTCCTCCTAGAATACATCTATCATCGATTCTGCTGTTCCCAGTTACAAACGGCGCACCCGGCGCGCCATAAAGATGCACGATGAAACTCTCGGACAAACAGCCACGGACATTATTAGATTCGTTCACAAATATCTGCCGGCGATCAGTTTCAAATTCATTTCAGCCGGCGATCATTTACAATCAGGAGCAAGCTAGCCGTGTACCTGAATCAATATTATCCCCAATTATTTGTCTGCTAGTGTACGAGCGGACCGCGCTGTTTATTTCGGCGGAAGACGTTCATCATCCGACGCCCGATAATCAGCAGTTAGAAACGGCGGTGTTGCGCGGCGAATAGAAAAGGGAGTTCGCTCCTTGCCCGTCACGTACTCTATCGATTACGGCCGGGATTTCCACTTGTTCGTTGGAACAAATGGTTTCTACACGTTCGGAACCAACGTAAACACTGGCCGTTCCGTAATAACGCGGAAACGTTGCTACGCGCTGGAAATATAGCGCGAGCAACGCTTGCACAATCCGATATGATAGCATTCAATCAGCGCTGCAGCTCGGCTCGCGATTCTCGTTAGTCAATAATACAATAATATAACACGAACTGCGGGGGAGTCGCATTTTCGACCGCGGAGCGACTCCGTGTCATCGGGTGCACCAGTCGATCAGCTTTTCCGCGATGATGATTAGCGATGGGCTCGATGTCGGCGTTCCTGACGAGTTGCTCGCGCCGTTCGATGTTTAAGCCTATTATACCGTAGGTGTCAAAGGACACCTTTTGAAATTTTAACTTAAGATTATTTCCCAAATTTAGTCCTATATTCTGGAAGATGATTAAACTGAGAAAATAATTTTAAGTTAAAATTTCAGAAGGTGCCTTTTGACACGTTCCTTCTGGCGATTCCTTGGATACACAGAATTCTGTATTATCGAGACTTTGAAACATAACGATCCAGTTAATCGAGATCCTACTGTACTCTTGATACCCATGTATCAGCGATACTATGATAGTTTGACGTTACGTATCGGTACGGCCTGATCAGTATCATCTTTCATCGCTAATGATGACGCCGCCGCTCTGTCAAAGCTAGAAGCGTGCGGCTAACGAGCGCGTTTTAACGAATTCTCGCCTCCGAAGTGAGACCTCCGCGCGAATTCGTCGCGAGGAATAATCGAGCGAACGCGATAACCAGCCCCAGTCGCATTGTTCACCGCCATTGTCCGTGCTCGCGTGTTCCGCCGGCCGGGCGCCGCGTTTTCCGTCGCTCGTGAGAGAACGAACTTGGATATCGCGTGTTGCCCGCCTATAGGTGACTCGCAACTGGTGTTTTCGATTTTACCTGTCGCTGGTGAATAATATTTTCATGTTTGCTGGACTCCCGGGACGATAAAGGCATATATGACATCGACGTATTCAGAACGATCTTCATTCAGTTCAGTTTTAATTAGATATCAATCAGTGACCGTTGATTGAAACGTTTCAATTTGAATACTGACGTTATAAAATCCTTTGTATTTCGTTTTAAACGTATGACACATAGTTCTATCGTTTATCGATCTTTCAGTATCACTGGCTCTGCCATCACGTATCGTCTTACTATCAAAGTTTCGTTTGTTCCGCTACTCGAACACTAGATAAAACGAAACTTTTGTAACTCAAAGATCTTTCAGCTTCCATCGTGATTCGACTTGTTATGGTTCGATCACATGTTTATCGCGTCTTCCGTCGTCGCATCGTTACAGTTCGCGCATAAGTATCCCATAAGTCTCGCTTCAGGAAGCCTGATGAACAGATCGGCCGTGTTCGACGGCTCAGGAGCAGTCAGCTCCTGCCGAAATCAATGTTAAGCCAATGTTACGAACCAATCTATCCGATACCGAACACGATGCAATTGGGTATCGAGGTCGGCCCTCGTGACGAACGCGGCCGCCCGAAAGTGATTGCGCCGATATAGAGCTCAATAGACCACCGGTTGCATCCCGGAGGAAATCGTTATCGCTTTGGAACGGTCGTTGGAAAGCTGTCGCGGTTTCCGCTCGCGCCCGTTGACAAGGCATGCGAACAGTGCCCGCCGAAATTCGGGGACAGGGGTTGAGACCGGTCGACAGCTATTCGAACTCGATCGACTACTCTCTTTTTCCTTGACACGCGTATCACGAAGTCTGCACACTGCGGATAAATAATTTGATAACGTGGATCGAATCTGCTTTATTCGGCAGGACTTAGATCGACGCTTCACGGTCGAAGTGCTTTTCACTTAGATCTAGAATTGATTGCAGCTTCGACGATTTACTCGTTGCATCTCGTAATCGTTAGGTAATGCATACGTAATGTTCACCATTTATGAATAGTTATTTACGAACAAATCTATTTTACGCTACAGAGATTGACATTCACCTTTAGTTTCGATGCACGCGTCGAAAGTTGTCCTCCCGTTCCCCTTTGACCGCGCGGAAACGCGTCGTCAAGAAAAGTATTTATATATTCCCGCTCTTTGGGAGCAACTTTTTATTATCAGCTATTGATTGCTTCCTTTAAAACATTTATTGCAAAAGACTTCACCGCGCGGATACCTCTTCATCCGCTACACGCTCCACGGGCTCCTGTTTACCTCCTTTTCCGAGTTCGCCCCGATGAACGGGCGAAGTGAAGTTCAACAACAACTTCTTACCGGCGCGGTTTGTTCATCACGGGAAAACAAACGTGCGGTAAACACCGCGGCCGCAAAAAGGAACGGCACGGGAACGGAGACGGCATTCCGCGGTTCGCTCCGCTATCGAAAACCCGTCCGTCGTCAACAGTTTTTTCCCCGCCGAATATTCGCGCGACAAATAACGGGAACGAAGACGCGGCCCGAGCGGACTGGAAATTAAACGGCGCGGAATGTAATTCATTTTAGAAATGAACGGGAA